AGGGAAAGATATCGAATTCTACCCACCCTCTGCCTTACCAGATAGTTTATCGGGGGCTTTAATTATTTTTCGCATCCATTTCAGTTTATTCTAGTTTCTTTGGCATTTAATTTCTTCTAACTCTGTGGACGCTTTTATAAAAGATTTAGCAATCGGAACTACTGTACTTAGGTTCAAAGTTCTATGTTGAAAATTCACTTAGTGTGAATAAGATTCTGTATGAGACTGAGTGTATAAGAAGACATAAAATTCTACTGCTTCAATATAAAAAGCATTTAAAAACAAAGACAATAATAAAAATATCTTACCTGTGTTGAAGGCATAGAAGATGGTAGCGAAGAATCTTGGGGATCTAAATATAAAAAAAACAAAGAAATGGTGATCTTTAAAATAACTTAATATATGTGTAAAACTTGGGCACTGTGGTAGTAAGTAATTCCATATTAGTTTGTATATTAGATATATCACACAGTCAGTGAAACAGTATTATTTACTGGATGACACAGTTTCGAACAAAATTTATTGTTCATAATCATAGCAATTATAATCACACGATTTCGAAACTTGAGTGTTATAGTTTTCTTTGTCTTCTCCTTTTTGTCGTCGTAGGGGTAGTAGAATCTTCCAGATATCTGGGTGGACAGGTGTTGAATCATTCCTATTACATGTATTTGTAGTTGATTCGATAAACAAAGCTTCTGTTATCAATCTCCCCCTCCACCTTGCTGTGACATTAGATTTTAAAACTGTCTGTCATCCTATCCTATGCATCCTATTGTATGGTTGTGTGTAACTGCATGTAGTGCTATAGCTGAACTATTCTCTAGATTTCTTATCTTATTCGGGTCAACCAATCTAGATTTTGCTAAGTTTTTATGTTCAGCTAGTCTGACTGCCCCTGTTCTACTAGTTTGACCTATGTATTTGACCTGACAATCATTGCAGACAGGGTATTAGATAAACTAAATTGTTTTGTTTTAAAGGCTCTACAGGATTGATCCTTTAACCGATAAAGCTTCTTTCTAATTGAGTTTGTGGGTTTGAATGCCAGCCACTTTTATTCCTGCCTTGATAAGAATTCTGCGTAAGGCTTCCGAGGTTCCTTCCTTGTATGGGATGGAATAATGATAGTAGCGATAGTGATAATAACAATAATACTGATAACAATAGTAATAGCGATAATAATAATATTAATGACGACACCAACAATAAGGAACCTAAATCATCAGTAGTATTTCCAACTCGATAGGAATTACGGATTGATATCAGTTAGAGAACCCCTGAAACAGTATGGAATAACATGGACGCAAGTGAAAAGTACAGCACAAGACAGAAGCAAGTGGAGACGTGCAGTTGAAGCCCTATGTTCCATTAGGAACCCAAGGGAACAATAATAATAATAATAGAGAACCACTGAACATCGGGGAATACAGGGCATCTGTTTCCTCTTAGTCTGGGACTCTTCAGCGACGAACACACCCAAGACATCACTGGGGATCTAACTCAGGGCATGCAAGTTACAAGGCGAGCTCAATGACTAATCAGCCACTGAGACAGAATCCAATGGTCTGTGAATTCTGATTTTTGTTAATTCGGAATTCTTAGTGCTACCGGCAGACAATGTCCTTACACCCAACGTGATGGAACCCACTGATCAAGTCTTCACCATCGAATTCCAGGTAACTACGTTCGGTAGTCATCTGTCACTAGTGAGAATCAGATTAATTTTCAAGTTTGATCACGGATTGATATCGATTAGAGAACCAGAGACTAGGACGAAACAGTTGTTTATCAGTACTCTCTGGTTTTTTAGTGATTCTCAATCCGTGTTGACACTTGAAACCAACCAAATCCCTACAAAGTAACACTCGACAGGAACAGCTGATAACATTTTAAAAGTATGAGAATATGCATCGTTATTATTAGTGTTCTGAAGAGAGAAAAAACAACTGAAGTACCTGGTTGATTATCATTCTTTATATTAGGTTTTGTAATCAAATCCATAAACACTTCTGATTGATCACCAAACAAGTTACAGTCGTTTTCATGATCTTTATGCGTATCTTAAAAAAGAGGAGATATAAACAACTATTAGAAAAATGAAATGCTTAACATGCAAAAAAAACCTTGAAACATTTTTAATAAGACCAAAATGCCAAATACCTTCCTACTTGATTTTTCCAAGATGAGCACGTACATCAATTCTCCCTGTTTGTTTATCATTATCTTCTTAGAGGTATTTGAATTTGGGAGCAACAACGCATAGATAATTTTAATTCCAATGTCACGTAATTGCATACGGAAGAGATTTATTTAACAGTGGCACCATCCTGTAACACTGCCTTGCATATCGTCCACTGTTTATAAAAATTGCCCAATCATCGCCTTCCTCGACAATGGGCAATGTTAGCTGATATAGGGTCAGGCTGGAAAAGAGCTAGTGGCGGTCAAACCAAAACAAGGCACCAGTCAATGATATCTACAACAGTTAGTTTAAGCCAGCCACGTAGGAAGGTGTAGACTGGCTTCCTGACTGGTTGGGGTCCTCGGGACATTAAAAACCAATGGTTGGAAACAATTGGTGACATGGCTAGCTCAAAATCGTTGTCAATGGCTAGCGCAGATGCATCCACTCCTTGGTACTTATGATTTCCAATGAAACTGTTTTGTTCTTCGTTATTACTATTCCTTTGTCTCACACCTCTGTTTACTGTCTCTATTATGCATTTCTCCTACTTTCCTCTGTTGCTTAGTGTGCTACAAGGAGGGAGTGTGGCAACTTGAACTGCTGCACATATGTGCAAAGTTCTATGTTGAAAACCGACAGACAGACAGTTTATAAAAAGTGGAAAGTTGGTCAACCCATGACATTACTCTATAGGATAAGAAATAGACACCTTATACATCAGAAACATCAGAGACATTATATGCCTTTCATTTTCTATTTTTCGTCTACTTTCGAAAGTAACATGAAGTAATGACCTGTTTTCTTTCAGTGTGTGGGTATGTGTGTTAATTATTTCTATCCCCTTCATTCTGTTACTCTCCAACTTCCACTCTTTATTTTATTACTTTTCGGTTATTTTATGTGGTGCATCTTATGAAGCCTATAGAAACACGACAAATACTGCAGGTTTCTGGATCGTGAATTCAAATTTTGGTCAAGTTAAACTTTAAGCACCACTAACTACTAATCAGCAAATGACGTCGAACGCACCAATCACGTGAAAGAGGCATTTTTGGGTACATATATTTATGAAATAATGAATAAAAAAATTGTAGAAAAGTGTTACACAAGATCCCTTGCTCTCACATGTGATAAAGATAGGTTGTAGTATCAACAGAGTATAATTCCATTGTGGGTAAAATTTATTTTGATAAAGTCTCATGATGTAATACAGTAATATTTCCTAAGCAATAGATTGTGGTCGAAACGTAATCAGTAAATATTACTGTATAACACTATGAGATTTTATCGAAATAAATATTACCCACAATGGAATTATACTCTACCAAAGTACACACAAGTACTATTCTTATATCGACAGAGTAATTTAACCACATTCAATGCATGTAATTATTTAGGTGTTCTAATCCTGACAATAACCTTAATCTTTCCTGAGCCTAACCCTAACGTGAAAATACCCCTTAACTAACTGTAAGCTAACTCGAACCAACCCTAATGTCACATTTATTAGGTTAACCTAACCCTAACTTGTCCTTGGCTCAAAGCGTAACTTAATCTTTCCCAAACCTGAGCTGAAACTTGTCAGAAATCCCATTTGATAGCATAACACTTCGATAAGCATATTTTATTGGTGATGACAACATGATTTGCCGGGTTTCATTAACTTGCTCAGTGAGCGTTTCAAGGTCATTGGCGCGGTCGCACTCCATTGGTAGTCAGTGGTGCTTAAACTTTAACTTGGACCAAATTTCTTCATGTTTAACATAAAAATAACTACAGATCATAGACACACACGTAGCTGCCCAGGATTAAGAAGAAGGAACAGAATTCAAACCCTGTGGCATTGGCTACAAGTCGTGCGCTTAAGCCGATAGGACAGACATCTCCATTCATTTACATACAAGGATAGATGTATGAGACTATATGGTACTACACTGTTAACCGAAATTCAATCATTAGAGTACTTTTCACCATATAACACAAGTCGTATAAGCTAAATATAATTAAAAAACTTAGTCACAACAACACCAAAATAACCACCCCAAATATTATTAAGTACGGTGAAGTAAAATATGTAGAAAAGGCTATACGCTATAATATACGGCATCAATTACCAGTATTTTAGCGTTGATGCAATTTTCATATAAGCAAATATGAAGATAGCAAAAATAAGCTAAACTGACAATAACATTGGAGCATACTCAAATTATTCGTGGAAATATAGCTCATTGATTTAAACACTCGACTTTCAACCAATGGGCTAGGGGGGGGGTTAGAATTCCATCTACTTCATTTCTCTCACATTACAACTGTAACTCATAAACAGCTACCTACTTACTAGCTGAGTTTTGGTTAACTATAGTTTTACTATACTCGTATTCACACCAAGCAAAATATCAAGTGCATGAGGGACTTCATCATGAGCTGACATCAGTTAGAAAACCACTGGAAAACCATCAGGGAGTACTGAACAGCTGTTTCGTCATAGTTTCTGACTCTTCAGAGGTACGCGCCCACCGGGATTCAAACCCAAGACCTTATGTTGAAGAGTCCCAAACTAGGACGAAACAGCTGTCCAGTACTCCCAGGTTTTCCAGTGGTGTCAGCTCATGATGATATCCTCCATGCAATCAAACACAGTCCCTACAAAACCAATACTTCAAAATATTAAGTCACACATTGCTGGAGACACTAAAAGATGCTCTAGATGCGAAACTCTGGCTGCAAGAAGCCAGATTTTAGAAAAAGCAAATTATGCACAGATTAGATAGCAACACTAAGCATAATTATCGGACAGAGCAAAGAATGGCAGTCAAATCTCTATCTCAACGTCATCGACTTTTAAAAAGCCTTCGACAGAGTTGACCGCGGAGTGAATTGGAAACTGCTTCAACACTACAGAGTGCACCAAACCTTTATCAACCTTATTCAACAGCTAAAGGACAATGCCATATGAGTCAAGGAGTCCACAACGGGAAATTCAGCCAAGTGTTTGAAATGAAGACAGAAGTGTACGACAAGACTGCCTACCATCACGGATGGTATTCTTGATTGTAATGGACAAGATCAAGTGGTGGGATGTGAGCAACGGGAAGACAAGGAAAAATTGGCCCGACAAGAAGGCTCTCGTTGATCTTGACTTCACGGACAGATATATGTCTAATGTCACACACACGCGAAGAACTACACGCGGAAACGAACAAGTTGGCCGAAGAGACTGTCAATTGAACATAAAGAACTGTTGAGGAGATGGAGATATCCACCCGCCACCACCACCAACAACCAGCACCAACCACTGTCAACGGGAGAAATTTGAACCAATTCACCACCAATTTCACTTATCCAGGTAGCACTGATTCAACCACATGCAGCGAAGATAGGGATGTCGAAGTCACGAAGGCAAGACAAGAGGAAAATGGAGATGAATCGGACTAACACTGGCGAGACTGTTGGGTGAGGACGTGCACTTTTCCACTAGCGGAAAACGATTAGGAAACATGTTGGGCGTAGCTTACAGGGTGATATGAAAGACATCGTGTGAGCAGGAGATCGAAGATTGTGGACCATTGTAGAATGAGGTAAAAAAAAGCACTATAAAGAGTAGATTGAAATGGAGATGTACTGTTGAAGGTCTATATTCCCCCGCCCCCCCCCCCCCAATCGGAAACTAAGGAAACCATAAGTGCATGATATAATATTAGTTATGTTAAGACAAAACACCATCGAAGAAATCAAACATACCTGAATTATCATTCTCTCCATTCGGTTTTGTCGTCTCATCTATAAATGCCTGTGTTTGATCACACAATGATCCAGCAAATAGATTATGACGATTGTCGTGTTGAATCTGTGAATCTGTAACAGCGTGAGAATTAATTAAAAAATAGGGAATATCAAACAGGTAAATAAACTTCGAAGTAAGCGAAAGTCTTAATAAACACTATTTATTTTTTCAAGTAGACATTAGGGCTACTGGATCCCCCCTTATACCCACAAAACATGGTTCTCCTTCAGATTTCACAAAAAAGGCCACGTGATTTGTGAGGATTTGCATTATTTTACAATCATTAGATTATTAGACTTCATCACAAACTAGCAACAGTTGGAGAGAGATCATAGAATTCCAGTAGTCCAGTAGTAGGCTGAATGGTCAACGATCTTGGTCTACGTAACTTGAAGGTCTGGGGTTTGATCCCTAGTGGAGCGCCGTGGGTGTGCACTGCTGAACAGTCCCCCCAAAAATAGGAGAAAAACAGCTTTCTACTGCTCCCGGGTTTTCGATGATCTCTCTAATTGATATTATTAGTTCATATACTAACCAGTCGCACATTATTCCTTCCTATTGATTTCCTTTCCCCACTGAAAAGGAAACCACACATGAAGGTGAGCAGATAAGCGAAAAGAATTAGAATATCTTCACTCCATAGGTCCTCAAAATCATGGAGGAAAAGGTGGCTTCAGTCCTGACCACCGACTGCCACAAAAACTTAACTCTTGATGCTTGGTTAACACTGGTAAAGTTTCGATAAAAACAGCCTTATGAAAGTCAGGATTGAAAGGGATTTATTTTGAAGCTTGGAGTTAACGAAACAACCAAGTTATGATGCAATACCAATAATAATAATATTACAGACCCCTAATTTTGACTAATCTAAAAGCTTGAAGGTGTGAGTGTAGATTGTAAGGGGGACATAGAAACAAAATTACATAGGTTTAGAAAATAGTGTTGCGTAATGTGTAAAGTACTTCTTAATGAAGATAGGTGTGAATGGGATATGCATAGAAACAAATTGAAATCATACTTCTTATAATTGAAGATGAAAAAAGAATGAAGGGAATGAAATAACTAACAAACGAAAACTGAGGAGTCAAGCAGAGCTAGACCCTGGGTAAATATGGAGATAGAACTAGTTCCTCTTGATGCGTACGGCAAGAGCTTCTGTATTACAACGAAGTCGGAAACACACTGCCTTTGGCAGATTTTCGTTCACTTTGTAAACAACAGCAGCAACATCCACCGCCAATCACCATCAACGGGAGGGATTTAATGAAAGAGGTTACTTCATTCACTCACTTATCTAGGGAGAATTGTATCAACCACAGGAGGAGGAGGAACGGACGAGGATGTCAAATGGAGAATCGGGAAGGCGAGAAACACATTCATCAACCTGAAACCAATCTGGAAATCTTCCGCTGTCACTCAACCCAGTCAGCATCAACAACAAAATTCGGATTTACAATACAAACGTCAAGTCAGTCAGTTCTTCTATACGGATGGATCAGAAAGTTGGCGGTGGGTCACAAAGAATGAGTATTTCCAACAGCCTGTTGCACACCTTTATCAACAACTAAATAACTGTCTTCGCTGGCTCTATACTGAAGATCAGATGGCCGCCGGAAAGAACAAGAACCAACAAGAAACAAACAATAGGAAGAAACAAAACAAGAACCAATCGCTCAACAAATATGCAGGAGAAAGTGGAGATGGATTGGACACTCACTGGCTGAGGAGGCCACTCGCTGGGTGACATCGCGCGTCAGGCCAACGCTCAAGTGTGACGTCCGAGGGTTACATGGAGGAGATCGTGTGAAAAGGAGCTGAAACAGTATGGACTAACATGGATGCAGGTGAAAAGTACAGCAGAAGACAGAAGCAAGTGGAGACGTGTAGTTGAAGCCCTATGTTCCACTAGGAACCCAAGGGAACAATAATAATAATAATAATAATTGTAAATGACTCTGAATGATCAGTCAGTTGAGATGCTGTGAGACAGGGGTACTGACGAGGTGTTTGATTATATATACCGCTTCCGATTGAACCAGTGCCGTCTGTTTGTAGCATTGTTGGTTGGCGGCGTTCATCTAACATGTTTTTCGAAAGGACGCGCGTAGAACAAACACCTACGTAACTAACTCCACGGAAGTGACTATAGTAGTTTGAAGTCTGAAACCGGCTTAAACCATTGGCTGCTGAGACAGAGGTTCCTGCCAAATTTGATCAAACAACCTTTGATGCCAAACCTTATAATATCAATCAAATTATGGTATATATATGATGCATTTATTGTTTGTTGTTCTCACTAGAACAGGCTAGTCTTGTCTTTTGAATTTATTTCTGGGCCCAGGGAGGTAGAAAATATACGAGGGAAAACGATCGTACATGGTTTTCAGTCGAATTATCTATTGCGTCTACGTATCGAACGCGAAACTCAGCATTGTTATCGATCGTTACGATCATATGAGTGCAATTGGCTCGCATCTGTTTATAGGTGCTAAACTCTATATAACTTAAAATACCACTACAGTATATTCGAATTATTGAGAATTTTATCCAATTCATCAAGTGATAAAAACTCACCTGGATTAACACTTTGATCAGTTGAATCCATCAACGACTGTGATTGGTGGTCACCACTTAATGACCCAGTGAATAAATGACGCCGATTATCATGATGGATTTGTGAATCTGTGGACGGAAGAGGAGGACACAGATAAGATAAAAGTGGTACCGTCAAGAAAAAAAACAATAGACAAAATAATTTTTCGCATTTTTTAGTAAACCATGAAACTGGTTGCACGAGAGTAGTTTAAGAGAACTTCAAATATTGTCGTATCCCTACAAAGTGCAATGCAGACGGCATATATTTGTAGGATAGGGCAGGCTAAAGTCTATAATTTTTAGGACGGAAACCCTCTGACGTTTCTCCTAAACGGCGGGAATGAAGTGTGGCTATCATTCATTGATTTTATGTTGCTTTATGCCAGTAGTCCAATTTCATCTTCGGATCGTAAGCTGCTTTCTCATTATGAAAGTTTTTCTTGTTCTTGGCATTCCAAGTGGAACTTAGGACTTCAGACATTAAGGTTTTAGTAGCGGCGATGTTCTATTTACGGGATGCTGTTGCCAATCTCAAGCCTAACCTACCCTTTTTTCACAGCTTAATACGAAGCTAGGTGACATTTAACTGACTGGTTTCAACATAGAACTTTGCACCGATGTGAGGCAGTTCGAGTCGCCACACTCCCTCCATGTAGCACACAAAGCAAGAGAAGAGAGTAAAAAGAGATTCATAACAGAGATAATAAACAGAGACATGAGGCAAAAAATAACAGTAATATGGAGGAACAATATGGTTTTATTGGATATCATAATTCACAAGCAGTGGATGCATCTGCGCCATTTAGAAGTTCGTCGGCTTATAGATATCCTGCTAGCCATTCTAGCATGACAGAAATTTACGAAACAATCGTTTCAACCAGAATAACCAAATGGGATAGTTAAAATATGTAAGCCAAATCATCAAATTAGGATAGCATCTGTCAGTTAGAATGTAACATGTACAGATTATTTTTATACTGTTAAATTACCAAAACAAAAGTACGTAACACACAGTAACATGTGACTGAAAGTGGATAAGAACCAGAAATACGTATACTGGGTATCTTACCACGCCAGGCCATCGCTGGAGTGGAAACCGAAAAGAAGATAACGAGTTGGGTGTCAGAGAGTTACACGGAGGAGGTGAGAAATTATGGGCCATAGTGCAGCCATCTAAGCAGGACTGCAAAGAATAGGTTGAAATGAAGATGTTCTATTGAAGCCCTATGTCCCACTCGGAATGAAAGGGAGTAACAATGATGATCATAAAAAATAAGTGGGCCATCTGAAGTTTAAATCAATCAAGCAGCACAAACACACAGGCTAACATACACTCAATCAGCTTATTGAAAACACAATAATTAGTTAACTTTTTTTATAAAATACAAACCACAAAGTTCTATTACACTCTGCTTTTATAATTGCATTAAGTCCATAAATTCAACAGACTGCAAAGTAGAGACAATCACGGTTTTGAAGGTATACAATCAAATGAAAACGTAAACAAGGTCTGGCTAAAGTTTATGGGGCAACAAGAATCCATTCACCGGAGAGACCTTTATGATACTGTCCCATCGTACTCACTTCTTGAGACCAATGCTCGTCGGTTGTAGTATAATTCTATATCGGTTCTCATTAGAGTGTGCCGAGTTTTCAAACTATGAAAACTTAAACTGAAGCGTTTTTCGTTGATATGCCAATCAGTCAAGTAATTATCTGAAAAAAGACATCTGTTTATCTGATGAATTTATTGACTTTTCCAAGTAATTCTATCTACTTAAAGATACAAACGAAGTCAAATCGCATCAACAGGATTTCGAGTTAATAAAAATAAAGATAAGGGTTTAAAGCTGATGGCATATTGGTACAAGCAATCGGTTTTCAACCTAATGAATCATCGGTTTGAGTATCACCGGGTTAACTAACTGAGTATGGCTCATTAGCAAAGTAAGTAGAAGATCTACACCGGTTAATTGTGAGTTCAACCAATTCAACTACGCTAAACCAAAAAAAAACTATTTGAAAGTATAAGGGAACAGAATAGTCAAAATTACCTGAATGACTCATATCATTATTATTATTATTGTGATCAATGTCAACAGGTTTAATAGTCGAATCCATGTATTGTTCATCACATAATGATCCGATGAATAGATTCCGTCGATTCGCATGATCAACTTGAGAATCTGTTAGCATATAAAAGAAAAACAAAAAAAACACGACGAAGTCAGGAAGACACCCAAAAACAGAAAGTATAGAAGTTACTTAATTGGCAGTGAATAGCAGCAGAATTCAGGATGCACACTTCGTCCTATTTGAGGCTCATCAACTGGATGCGCCTAAATCCCACTGAGATATTCATACCCCACACATATCGCTTCAAACAAGCTATATAGAGACATCAGTTCAAGGAACTCATATATCAACAAGGAAATGACAAACATGAATAAATACACAGAAAATAAATTTAGTTATTAATAGTAACATTAGTTTAGTGAAGGATACATACGAAGCCTAAATTATAATGAAAAAACACATTGTATATGCTACAAATGAACAGAGTTTCACTCTGCAATGAAGCATTCTAGTAACTTTTAGAGAAGTTTATATGGAACTCAGAAGATCAGTATATCCTTCTACGTCTTAGGTGCTTGCGTTCTATCTCCCGTGTGAAGTGAAGTGGTATAATAAGGTGAGCAGTATTGAGGTGAGGCTTCGATCGAGTGCTAGGTAAGGAGGGGAAATCAGTCGACGACACTGTGAAATTACATCGACTGAGATGATTAGGACATGTGTTACAAATGAATGCCTAGTCATCGCCTTCCTCGACAATGGGCAATGTTACCTGAAACAGGGTCAGGCTGGAAAAGAGCTAGCTAGTGGCGGTCAAACGAAAACATGGCACCAGTCAATGAAATCTACAACAGTTAGTTTAAGCCAGCCACGTAGGAAGGTGTAGATTGGCTTCCTGACTGGTTGGGGTCCTCGGGACGGTAAAAGCCAATGGTTGGAAACAATTGGTGACATGGCTCAAAATCGTTGTCAATGGCTTGGCGCACATGCATCCACTCCTTGTGACTTATGATTTCCAATGAAACTGTTTTGTTCTTCGTTATTACTATTCCTTTGTCTCACACCTCTGTTTACTGTCTCTAATATGCATTTCTTCTACTTTCTTCTGTTGCTTTGTGTGCTACAAGGAGGGAGTGTGGCGACTCGAACTGTCGCATATATGTGCGAAGTTCCATGTCAAAGCCGACCGACCGACGTCCTAGCTGAAGTTCACTTCCATATATAAACAAGCAAACTGTTACAGGTTTGATCGCGAGCTGACATCAGTTTGAGAACCATTAGATAACCACGGGGCCTGGTTCGGAACTCGTCAGTAGTAAGCAGCCACCACTAGGCTTCGAACCCAGGATCTTCCGATTACAAAATGAGCTCGTAGATTATTCAGCCATTGGGACCCAACCCAACAGCCCATGAATACCGACTTCTGCCAATTCGAGGGACATGGTGCAGCCACCAACTAGCCGATGTTATCGCCAAGTAACTGTTCTCCTACCTGACTTGGTGAATGCCGCTGGTCGACTTCTCACTAGAACACTAGGTAACTTCCTCATACAGAACTGGTCGCTAGTGAAGAACCAAGTATGTATCCCTTACCATCTGGTTTTCCAGTGGTTCTCTAACTGATATCAGACCTCCATCAAACCTGCAAACAACCAAATCCCTACAAACCAACACTTGGAAACTGATTTGATGCTACTATTTTGTATTGATTGTATTTGATAAGCACATACTATCCATCCGATAACAGATGAGATTTACAACATAATAAATAAACCCACTTTATGTTAATCCTGGTTTCATACTTGTTCCTCATCATACAACGAACGCATGTTGTTATGAGGGAGTGTCTATTTTCCAATTAAGATTCAAACTCACCTTATATAAAGTATCAGAATCAGAAACACTTTATCACTAAGATATTTAAATCATTCAGGTGTGAAGATGTCACTCATTAGCTTAAGCGCTCAACGTTTAGTCATTGGACCCCCGGGCTTGAATCCTGAACTACTACCCACTGTAGCATGGGCAACTTGGGCGGTATTATCAAGGCTCATACAATAAGCTTGGTGCATGGCCTGAAACATGAATGACCTGTTCAGCAAACTGAGTTTATACAATGATTCCCTTTTATAAATTTGAACAAAGAAAGAAGAAACATTGGCGCCGAATAATCTGGATCCATTTTATTTCGTTGGTTCTCATCAGCTGCGTACAACCTCTGTCCATTAGCGTCATAGTAAAATGAGGCGTTGCGATTTACAGGGTGTCTAAAGTGTCACGACATGTATATATCTTGTTAAAGAGAAGTTTCTTGAAAACAATGACTTCAGATTATTCAACCATAAACTAAAACACTTACCAGTATTATTATTATTATTATTATTCAAAACGGGCTCAGTAGTCGAATCCATGAATGCTTGTGATTGATCACATAATGATCCACCGAATAAATTATGTCGATTTTCATGATTCGCCTGTGAATCTATGCGCAAAAGACAAGAAGAATAACAAAAATATTAAAACAGTTTAAGTGCCATGTCACACAAACTTGAAGGCTTACACGCGAAAACCAACAAGTTGGTAGAAGAGACTGCCAGTGAAGACACGACTTCAAGTGAACGTAGAGAAGACTAAGGAGATGAAGATACCCACCGACCACCACCACCAACAACAACCAGCACCAATCACTATCAACGGGAGGAATCTGAAAGAGGTCGTCACCAATTTCACTTATCTATACAGCACTGATTCAACTACAGGCGGCACACACATAAGCATGTCGAAGCCGGGATCGAAAAAGCAAAAGAAACCTGCATTATTCATTCTAAGATCAGTAGGGAGGAAATCTAAGGCACAAAATATAAACAACAAGATTCAGGTTGTCAATACGGATGTCAACGCAGTTTTTCTCTACGGTTCAGACAATTGACTTGTCACCAAAAGCACTTCCAACAGCTGGCTTCAAACTTTTAACCAAAACAGTTGCCTTCGCTGGTCACACACTGAGGATCAGATGGCCAAGAAGAAACAATAAGCAACAGAAAACTCTAAAAAAGAACCAACCAAGGACCTACTGACCAAAAAAGGTGTAGAAGAAAAAGGAGGTGGATCGGACAAACACTGAAGAGACAAATGGGTGAGAACGCGCACCTTGCCCACCAGCGGAACACGAATAGGAAACGACATGTTGGGCATAGCTTAAGTGTGATATATGAAAGACATCATGTGAGGAGGGGATCGAAGCTTGTGGACCATCGTAGAATAAGATAAAAAAAGGACTGTAAAGAGTAGATTGAAATTGAGATGTACTGTTGAAAGCCTATATTCCTCCGCCCCCAATCAGAACCTAGGGAAACCATAAGTGTATGATATAATATTAGTTATGTTAAGACACAAACACCATCGAAGAAATTAAACATACCTGAATTATCATTCTCTCCATTTTGTTTTGTGGTCTCATCTATAAACTCTTGTGTTCGGTTATACAATGATCCAGCAAATAGATTATGACGATTGTCGTGTTGAATCTGTGAATCTGTCACAGCATGAGAATTAATTAACAAAAATAGGAAATATCAGAGAGGTGGATAAACTTCGAAGTAAGCGAAAGTCTTAATAAACGCAGAGTATGTTTTCAAGTAGACATTAGGGCTACTGGATCCCCTTATAAACGCAAAAGGTAATGCAGATATACACCTACCAACACCAATCACTATCAACGCAATACATTTAAGCGACGTCGCTTCCTTCGATTATCTTGGTGACATTGTTTCAACTACAGGCAGGACGGATGACTGATTGGATATGAAAGTTTCAAAAAAAAGAGATGTTCCTTTTATATATAAACCTCTGTTATGTTAATTTCGGTTAATTTCCCTGAAGAAGTTCGGATCAGATTGCCGAGCGAAATGTGCGAATTAATCATTTCAATTTCGCTGAGATTTTACAAATTTAATTTTTAGAAATGTCTACTTCTCACTCAGCACTCAATTATTTTACAACTATCCGGTCAAATCTTGATCACAGTTCAGAATGGATGAAGTTGTCAAAGCCTGCGGGGTTGGAAAGACAAAACAGACCTTCAATAGTATGAAATCATTCCACACTAAGCACAAAGCAGAAGATTGAAATTTGCAACACTAGTGTGAAATCTGTTCTCCTATATATAGCTTAGATAGCTTCGTGTGTCAACAAAAGCATTTCGAAAAGATGTAGCACTCCTATATTAAGCCTAATTTTATGCTTATAAAACTAATACACGTGTTATTCGCTTACAGAAACTAATTTTCCTTATGCTTGCTGATAATTGCTATTGTATTATTGAGCACTGCTTTTCGTTTGTTATATATATAACGCAGTTTTGTACTTTTTCGTTCACCTCACGCCTTTTGAAATTCTATTTTGTTGACAGTACATCTCTCTAAGTTTTCAGTTGTACTTCTTAATACAGCGCTGTTCTTCGTTGACTATGTACAGCGTTAGCACATAGTAGAACGTGAAAACGTGCATATACTATAGCATCATAATCGGAATCATCTTTACTACGTGGCTACCTTCTCTGGCTTTATACTGCAGATTAGATTGCCAGACAGACAAGATTCGCAACAAGGAACTCTGTAGTGCAACGATTCAATCAGGAGCATATTGACCAACAAGTATTCCGAAGGAAATGGTGATGGTTCGGAGACACGCTGAGGAGATTGTAGAGCAACACTGAGCTTCAGGCCCTTTAGTGGGATCCGAACGGGTAACGATGAGTTGGGAGTCCAAGGGTGAGGTGGAGGAAGTTAGAACCTATGGGCAATCGTGTAGCTAACTGAGAAAGATTGCTGAGAACCAGGTATCATGGAGATGTGCTGTTGAAGTCCTATAGAACTTTACACAGATGTGCGGCACTTCAAGTCGCCACACTCCCTCCTCGTAGCACACAAAGCAAGAGAAGAAACTAGGAGAAATGCATAATATAGACAGTAAACAGAGGTGTGACACAAAGGAATAGTAATAACGAAGAACAAAACAGTTTCATTGGAAATCATGAGTCACAAGGAGTGGATGCATCTGCGCCAACCATAGACAACGATTTTGAGCCATGCCACCGATTGTTTCCAACCATTGGTTTTTACCGTCCCGAGGACCCCAACTAGTGAGGAAGTCTACACCTTCCTACGTGGCTGGCTTTAGCTAACTGCTGTGGATTTCATTGACTGGTGCCATGTTTTGGTTTGACCGCCGCTAGCTCTTTTCCAGCCTGACTCTCTCTATATCAGCTAACATTGCCCATTATCGAGGAAGGCGATGACTAGGCATACGTAACACATGTCCTAGCCATCTCAATCCATGCAGATGCTTCACAACCTCGTCGATTGATTTCCCCTCCCACCTACCTAGCACTCGACGCGTAACCTCAATATTGCTCACCTTATAATACCACTTCACACGGGAGACAGAACGCAGACACCTATGATCGAAGATAGCTAATCTTTTCATGTCTTCCACTCTCAATGACCAGGTCTCACAGCCAGCCATAAAGGAGGACGGAGCGGACTGTTGAGCAGTACACACGCCCTTTGGTCGATAGTCGGATATCATGTCTACTAGGCCAGAGACGGTGTACACTGGCATATGCGAAACTAGCCCTCTGTATCGTATCCGTGCTGAGATTTCGTCAGAGATCAACCCATTGGGGCTGATGGTACTTCCCAAGTAAGTGAAGCGGTCAACGTGCCCTACCAATTCACTTCCTATTTCTAATCTAGAGGTTGGTGTAGTCCAATCCTGTAACATCATCTTACATTTGGTGGGAGCCCAACAAGTGCTGGGAAGGAAATGGTGATGGTTCGGAGTCACACTGAGGAAACTGTAGAGTGACACTGAGCTCTAGGTCATCTAGTGGCACCCTTGAATGGATAACGATGTGTTGGGAGTTTGAGGGTGAGGTGGAGGAAGTTACAGTATATGGGCAATCGTGTAGCTAGCTGAGAAAGATTGCTGAGAACCAGGTGACATGCAGATGTGCTGTTGAAGTCCTATGCTCCACTTGGAATCTAATGGAATGATATTAATAATAATAACACGTACATATATACATAACAAAAAAGCGAAATTCATAAAATTACCTGAATTATCAATCGACTTAACAGTCTCAGGTCTAGAGGCTTCTGATTGACGACTAGATATTGAACCACCAAAGAGATTATATCGATCCTCATGGAGTGCTTGAGAATCTATTGAGGTGGAAATAAAATTTTTTTAAAAAGAATAAAATGGATAGCAAATTGAATTTAAACTTAAACGAAAAAAGTAAATTTTAATAAGTTAGGAAGTAACACGAAGATGAAACTGAATGTCGAAATATCTATTATTTCTTTGAACGAACGAGAGGCCTCCACAGACTACAGTTATTTACCTGATAGATGGTCATTACCGGTCATGATTACGGTGAAAGGATGATCTATCTATCAGCTGGTGAAGTGAAGGCGTTAGGAATCAGGTTACTACCACGCAATAAACTTTCGATAATTTGCATATATCAGTTCACCTGTCTTTGTGGAGCCAGTTGCATTAGTCATTCGACACAAATCCTGTCTAAAAGTGTTCAAGAACACTATCCCACATGGTTGTAGAAAGGTCGAAGTGGCTCTATGAGGAGTGCGATGGTCATGCCATCTCAACAAATTAATGCACAAAGTGAAGAGCAACCTGCCAAAGGCAGTATGCCTTCGTCTCCTTTGCATTACTGAACTGCTAGCCATTCAGAGAGAAAAAGCGGACCTCTGCATAGAAATGAAATGCTTGGGTGGGGAATATTCATGAAATTGCAGATTGACGATTGAAATCAAACATTTAAAGAGCAAAAACAAGCATCCTTTAAAATGAACACTACACAGAAATACCTGAAGTGTCGTTTCTTTCCAACGGATCAGTTTCATTATTGATTACATCTTCAGAAGGATTGCATAGTGATCCAGCAAATAAATTACAACGATCTTCATGTTGTACCTGTGAATCTGTTTGAAAGAGAACAGACAACACCACCAACCACTACCATCAATAAAGAAAGCACAAAGTTACCATACTCATACTTGATAATCAAATTAGACCAAAGAACCAACACCTTGAATTTAACGTAGCTAATACTGCTCATCACTTCAACCAAATACTTTCTTATTTTTACAAACCGAAATTGACAGGTGAAAAGCATGACAAAGAGCAAGTGATAAGTAATTATATTATTATTATTGTTCCCTTGGGTTCCTAGTGGAACATAGCGCTTCAACTACACGTCTCCACTTGTTTCTGCCTTCTGCCGTACTTTTCAACTGCATCCATGTTAGTCCATACTATTTCAGTTCCTCTTCACACGATCTCCTCCATGTCACCCTTGGACGTCGAACTCGCCGCTTCCCTTTCCCGTTCCACTCGAGCGTTGGCCTGACGAGCAATGTCACCCAGCGACCTCCTCGAACAGTGAGTGTCCAATCCATCTCCACTTTCTCCTGCATATTTCTACGGCGATTGGTTTTTGTTTTGTTTATTTGTTCCCATAGTTTGTTTCTTGTTGGTTCTTGTTCTTTCCGGCCATCTGATCTTGAGTAAAGAGTCAGCGAAGACAGTTAGTTAGTTGTTGATAAAGGTGTACAACAGGCTGTTGGAAATACTCATTCTTTGTGACCCACTGCTAAGTTTCTGATCCATCCGTATAGAAGAACTGACTGACTTGACTGACGTTTGTATTGAGAATCCGAATTTTGTTGTTGATGTTGACTTGAGTGACGAAGATTTCCAGATTGGTTTGAGGTTGATGAATGTGTTTCTCGCCTTCCTGATTCTCGATTTGACATCCTCGTCCGTTCCTCCTCCTCCTGTAGTTGAGACAATGCTCCCTAGATAAGTGAATGAAATAACCTTTTTCAAATCTCTCCCGTTGATGGTGATTGGTGGTGGATGTTGCTGTTGTTGTTGTTGTTGGTTGGTTGGTTATTTTCAAAACCTCCGTCTTGTCTATGTTCACCTGGAGTCTTCACCTGTCTTCTCTGGCTGCTTCTTCGACCAGTTTGTCGGTTTACGCTTGTGGGTCTTCGATTTTCTGTGATATCAAACATAAATCATCTAGGCGCGAAATCCAGGTCTTCTAGGTTCTTCACGTCGGTCCAGGATATCCCTGTCTTCTCGTTTCCTACTGTCTGATGCATAATCCAGTCCAGTCCACCACAATTAGGAATATCATTGGTGATAAAAGGCTAGCACCCTTGTCTGACTCCTGTGTTTATTCCAAATGCCTCGCTGAGTTTTCCGTTGTGGATCACTTGACATGTGCCGTTGTCGTACAGCTGTTGAATAAGGTTGATGAATATTTGGGGTACGCTGTAGTACTCGAGTAGTTTCCAAATTACTTCGCGGTCAACGCTGTCGAAGGCCTTCTCAAAGTATATGAAGTTGAGGAAGAGATTTGATTAGTCTAACTCTATTTATCTATGTACAAATGCCTCCCCGTCAGATTCCTTTTATTTGTACAGAACTCCAAAATCAAACTATGTTAGGGAGTATCAGTCCACTAGTGAAGAATGCCACATTGGCACAAGTATTTAACTTTTTCGACTGGAGCTTGACTCCACACCGGTATTTTTGATACAAGTATGGGATTTTCAGCATGTGATATCGGTAGCCCAAATTTCGCAGGCCGACTAATTGATATCACGTGTGCGTCGGTAGGTAGGTGATCGAACCCCGGAGAATATGCATGGTCGGTGAGAATCCTAACTGCCGTTGGTGGGAACTGGGTTCGAGCTCCACTCCACCTACTTAAGACTCGGCGACAGGGTAGTATCATCAGCCTTCACACAATGAGTGTGGCTCATATCCTGCTACATGAAAATCTAACAGTCCACATAAACATATGTTATAGATATGAAAAAGAAGTAAAACAGAAATATTATAACATACCTGAGGTATCATTCTCTTTAACAGACTCATCTGTAATTAAATCGGTAAACTCCCGTGACTGGTCGTCATCACATAGTGATCCGCCAAAAAGATTACGACGATGCTCATGGTGGATTTGAGAATCTATTTGGAAAAGAACGATACGATAAAATTATCTGACTAAAACCAGAGTAATAAGTTTGTCATACTAGCTACCACAGACATGATATATCCATCCTATCTATCCGAGGACGTGTCTCTGCTAAGCAGATGTTCGATCTGTCCTTCTCTATGGGCGGCGAAATATGACCATTGACAATTGGAAAATATGTAAAGTTAATATATGTCCAAACCAAGTTCACTTTTAACAGTTTGAAAAAATTTGGGCATTGGGTATATGATATTCATTATAATAAAGGTTTTTGTATTTCCCAATGAATGAAAAACAAAACGATATTGTTTTTACTGACGTTTCGCTATTTAATGCTGCTAATAGCTTTATCAAAGTATTATTAAACCGGAATTTACAAAATCTCAGCATATATATAACAAAGAGTTAAGGGGTGAGAAAATAGACTTAGGTCAAGTTAAAAGGACATATTGAAAGTCAAAATAACAATGAAGATCACTAAACCAAATAACAAAGGTAATAGTACATCTGTTATGGTATCAAAACAAAGTTTACTAACTTGATCATCGTTCGTTAGTCTGGGGTCATTTTTCGTTGTCAAGTTGGTCAATTGGTAAAGATAACAAAATCAAGTGTAGATTGTTGGATTTGATCAGTGTGTAAAATTATAAAAGTAGTGTGTGTTTACATAGTGAACTTGCATATCACATTCGTGTTGATTTTGTCACTTCATGGGGGAGGGAGGTGTTGTAACCAGGTCAGATTCTGTTTTAGTCCATCATTCCTATTCAGGCAATTTGGATTCCACTTGATATGAAGTGCTTCTGATGATGTTAGACGTTCTTTGTGATTTCTGAAGTTTTCTGGATGATGATTTCAATATTGTCAAAATCAATTTTGTGACCTGATTCTATAGCATGTAGACCTATGGCTGATGATTTTTCAAGTTTTTCCAGTTCAATTGGATTTCTCGGTGGTCAAACAGATGCTCTACGGTGTTCATTTCTTCTGATTTTGATTTCTCGAGATGTTTGTCCGATGTATATCGCATCACATTCCAAGCAAGCATTTTATTTTATAGACACAATTAGATAGAGAATCTTTAGGGATCTGGTCTTTTATATGGACAAGGTTGTTTCGCAGTGTGTCTGATGTTTTGAAGAAAACTCTAATGTCGAGCTGATTGAGTACTCTTCTGATATCATCTGACGTCTCTGCTCTATATGGAATGACGACTGTCGAGGTCCATGTTTTCGGCCTTACTTAATGTCTGTGTTGATTTTGTTGATGAAGTTCCATGGGTAGTTGTTTTGCTTGAGAGTTTCAGTAATGTTTGATATTTCTTCTTCTTTTTTTTTCTCATCCGTTATCAGAGAGTGTGCTCGTCTAAGAAGACTTGAAACAACTGAAATCTTTGCGCTAATGGGGTGTGATGACTTGAAGTCTAAATATTTATTTGAGTGAGTTTTCTTCCTGAATATGGATATACTAAAGTGTCCGTTTTCCCTTCTCTTAACTAGGCAGTCTAGAAATGGTAGTTCAGTCTTCTATGACCACAGGTGTTTGCGTTTTACCTCTCGTGTTAAGTTGTATAATGTGTTAGAAGTCTTAAGGAAGGAGGGAAACTTAATCGATGAGGTTGTGAAAGTGAATCGACTGACTGACATAGATAGGACACGTGTTACACATGTGGAGTCATTGCCTTCCTCGATGGGGCAGTGTTGTTAATTGACATACAACTAGATTGAGAAAGAGTTAGTAGTTGCCAAGCCAAAATATTTTTCAGATCCAGGAATTGTTTGACTGCTGGTTTGAGCCACATAGGAAGGTGTAGACCTCGCCTGGCTGAGGTCCTTCAGACTCTTGATAATATAGTTCAAACTCGTTTGAATAAAAGAGAAAGATGCACCATTCTGTGTGTTTTTACCAAGTGTGACAGACAGCTTGAACTGCTGCACATTAGTGCAGTTAAGTCAGCTAGTCATATAAACCAATAAAATGAACATATAAAGTACACATCGGAGTAACAAAGGTTCAAAATAAAAAAAATACCTGGATGACTAATATTTTGTTTCTCCGTTGTTTTACTGGCCGAATCGGTGAATACTTCTGACTGATCAGAAACTGAGCCACCGAATAAATCACGACGTTTTTCATGTTCAATTTGTGAATCTGAGTAAAAAGAGAATCAGAGACGATGAGGAGAATACAGTGTATGAAGAATACTATGCATACAAAACTTGTAAAAGGTTTATGCAGAGATAACAGTAAAATAAATTCCTTTCAGATACACACGAATCGATCATACGATGTAAACCGATGTCACTTGTTGCCTTTTTACATCACTGTTTGAATTTTCTTTTTTTCCACTGTCTGATCATTCTCCTACCGGCTGTTAACTCTTACAAAAAACCATCAATAATTTGACTGCTTTGCAAAGTCATATATATCAATATATAACCCTAAGCGTTCCGAGTGGAGCATAGGGCTACAACCTACAGCTATGAAGTTTCGATAGCAGCGACTTTATTTTAAAGGGAGGGGTCTTTTGTTTCATGCCCAAACTTCGCTCTTTACCGGACTCATTACAGGCTGAAAGAGGTTGAGGAGTTCGTCGGTTGCGGGTCGAACCCCAGACGACATAAGTGGTTGCCGAGCATTTTACCGCTGCACTTATTATTATTATTGTTCCATTGGGTTTTGAGTGGAAGATACGGCTTCAACTACACGTCTCCACTTGCTTCTGTCTTCTGCCGTACTTTTCACTTGCATCCATCTTAGTTCATACTGTTTCAACTCTTCTTCACACCATCTCCTCCATGTCACCCTTGCAATGACATCCCACTCGTCGCTTCCCTTTCGGGTTCCACTCGAGCGTAGGCCTGACGCGCGATGTCATCCAGCCGCCTCCTCAGCGAGCGAGTGTCCAATCCATATCCACTTTCTCCTGCATATTTCTACGGCGATTGGTTTTTGTTTTGTTTATTTGTTCCCATAGTTTGTTTCTTGTTGGTTCTTGTTCTTTCCGGCCATCTGATCTTGAGTAAAGAGTCAGCGAAGACAGTTAGTTAGTTGTTGATAAAGGTGTACAACAGGCTGTTGGAAATACTCATTCTTTGTGACCCACTGCTAAGTTTCTGATCCATCCGTATAGAAGAACTGACTGACTTGACTGACGTTTGTATTGAGAATCCGAATTTTGTTGTTGATGTTGACTTGAGTGACGAAGATTTCCAGATTGGTTTGAGGTTGATGAATGTGTTTCTCGCCTTCCTGATTCTCGATTTGACATCCTCGTCCGTTCCTCCTCCTCCTGTAGTTGAGACAATGCTCCCTAGATAAGTGAATGAAGACCGCTGCACTACCGACGTATATATATATATATATATATATATGAATTATGTCAATGAATTGAATAAAATCGATAACAATACATATGAAAGTGAAAACTTACGAACACTCATGCTTTTTTCTTGAGATAATATCAAAGTAGGATCCAAGTCACAGACTGGTTGAGTAGGTTCTTGAGATAACAAGACAGTGTCTTGAGATGATATATGATTGATATTATTACCTAAAATAAATATGATTTATAATCACCGGTGAAAGGTTAATATTTAGGGGGCAGAAATAAAAAAATGCCAACTGACAGCAGATGAAGTGAATCCAAAGAATCTCTCTACCTTTAAGGTCAAGTTCTAGTTATGGCTTACAATGAGAAACTGAGAAATGTGTGTGTGTGTTATCAGCTATGCGGTATACTACTACTACTACTACTACTACTACTACTACTACTACTACTACTACTACTACTACTACTACTACTACTACTACTACTACTACTACTACTGGTGGAATTCATCCCAGAGATGATAATCACTCACATCAAACAATTTAATAGAAATCTTAGACTGGATTTTCTTCATTAGACAAAATAAGTTCAGCTGGTACTATGAGGAGTCAGTTAATCGGAACCTAGAAGACCTGGATTTCGCGCCTAGATGATTTATGTTTGATGTCATACAAAATCGATGACTTACAAGCGAAAACCGACAAACTGGTCGAAGAAGCAGCCAGAGAAGACAGGTGAAGACTCCAGGTGAACATAGACAAGACGGAGGTTATGAAAATAACCAACCAACAACAACAACAACAGCAGCAACATCCAGTGCCAATCACCATCAACGGGAGGGATTTGATGAAAGAGGTTACTTCATTCACTCACTTATCTAGGGAGCATTGTCTCAACTACAGGATGAGGAGGAACGGACGAGGATGTCAAATCGAGAATCGGGAAGGCGAGAAACACATTCATCAACCTGAAACCAATCTGGAAATCTTCGTCACTCAGCATCACTCAACATCAACAACAAAATTCGGATTTTCAATACAAACGTCAAGTCAGTCAGTTCTTCTATACGGATGGATCAGAAACTTAGCGGTGGGTCACAAAGAATGAGTATTTCCAACAGCCTGTTGTACACCTTTATCAACAACTAACTAACTGTCTTCGCTGGCTCTATACTCAAGATCAGATGACCGGAAAGAACAAGAACCAACAAGAAACAAACTATGGGAACAAATAAACAAAACAAAAACCAATCGCCCAACAAATATGCAGGAGAAAGTGGAGATGGATTGGACACTCACTCGCTGAGGAGGCCACTTGCTGGGTGACATCGCGCGTCAAGCCGTAGCTTGAGTGGAACCCGAAAGGGAAGCGACGAGTGGGACGTCAGTGCAAGTGTGACATGTAGGAGATCGTGTGAAGAGGATTTGAAGCAGTATGGACTAACATGGATGCAGGTGGAAAGTACAGCAGAAGACAGAAGCAAGTGGAGATGTGCAGCTGAAGCCCTATTGTGCACTAGGAACCCAAGGGAGCAACAAACAACAACAACAGTTAATCGGAACAGATTTCTTACGCACCATGCTACGTGAGTGACATTTTATTATAAGACGGTTGATACTACTATCACCTAGCTACCCAGGCTAAAATAAGTTAGAAAGAGATTCAAATCCTGGATGAACTGGCTAGAAGTTGGAAACTTACACCAATGAGCAGTATCTATAATATTCAGTGGGTAATACTGAGACATCAAGCAATAATAATAAATGCTGAGTTCACTGACAATACTATCACTACCACCACCCATTCATTCATAAGAATGCAAGAAAATTTTACTGCTGGTATGGTTTATTCATTTGAGATCTTGTCTTTCATGCATTTACCATTTATGTTCAAATCCCACTATTACTCTAACTATTCCCAGCTAGACCAACTGTGGAAAATCGTATATCACCCAGATAAATCAAATGCACGCGGAGCTGTGGATGACCACAGGCTTTCGATTTCCAAATACTGTCGCGAGAATTCAAATAATGAAAAACAACTTATCAAGATTTAGGCAGCCATTATTAGGCAGTGGGCAATGAGGAAATAGGCATAAAGTGGACTCACACAAAAAACCAACTTGGAGGATCTGGAATTCGCCGATGATGATATATGTCTGATTTCCCACAAACTGGAAGATATGCAAGCGAAAGGCAGCAAGTTGGCAGAAGAGGCATCAAAGATAGGAGTTTAGGTGAACATAGAGAAAACAGAGGTAATCAAGATTCCTGGGCGACACCACCAACAGCGACAACAACAACAGACAACAATCAGCCAGCATAAATGGAAGGAACCTGAAAGAAACAACCTCCTTCACCAACCGACCTACCTGGGAAACATCGTTTCAACTACAAACGGACGGAACTGACGAGGATATCAAAGCAAGAATCGGAAAAGCAAGACAAGCTTTCACTACTCTCAAGTCTGTGTGGAGGTCAACAGCACTCAGCATCAAAACGAAGATAAGATCCGGATTTTCAACTCCAATGTGAAGTCAGACAGTGCTACTCACTATACGGATCAGAGACTTGCACAGTGCGTCATAAAGAGCATCTCAAACAAACTACAGACCTTCATTAACAGCTAGTTGTCTTCGCTCAATACCACTCAAGATCAGATGGCCGGCCAGAAAAGATCAGCAATAGAGAGGGATCTCTGGCAATGAGCGAACCAACTCAGCAGGAACCGATTGTGAAACAAATAGGCAGGCAGGAAGAAATGGAGATGGATTGGCTGGTCATACTCTGAGAAAACAAACCATCAAGTGACATCACTAGACAAGCCATTGCTCGAGTGGAACCCGAAAGGGAATCGGCGAGTTTGTCGTCAGTGCGAGGTTGGGTGACTTGGAGGAGGTGATGTGAAGAGGAGATGAAGGTGTGTGGGCAGACTTGGAGCCAGGTGAAGACTCTAGCAGAGAACCGAACGCAATGGAGACGCACGGCTGAAGCCCTATGTTCCTCTAGGAATTAAAGGAAACAATAATAATGATAATAATTAATTCTCTCACAACATTTTGTGACTAACTACCAACTACAAGTGACAAGACAGCCTATTACGTGTAAAAGTACAGACCAGTTGGCAAGTTAATAAAATGTATGAGAAGGTAACTATTATGGCTAACACATTCTCTGAATTATATGCACGTAAAACAAACAAACTGCTAAAGATAAATACACTTACCACTCAATAATGTTAAATTATCATCAATTGATTCTTGATTAGGGGACTCCGATCGGGACGCTAAGACTAGAAATAAAAGTCATATCATCAAAGAGGTTAAAAAAAGAAAAAGGAATTACAACTCTAAAGATAAAAATAGAAGACTGAGTATGAATAATAAAAAGAGTAACCAATTAAGGGTAGAATCGTGTTTATTACCCAACTACGAGATATATATTCATACACTTGATAATGAGTTAAGCTCTATTGTGTTATATTACTTCCTTGCTTTGACCTCAATAAGCAGAGTTAAGTTCGAACCGGTTATGGTTATTGAAATGATGTTTCGGTTTGCTGAAGCTATCGTAATAAAACGATTGAAATCTCACTTTGTGTATTCAAAAGGCATCCATCGTGAGCCTTCAGTCAGTACCCTGATAAATCTCACCTTCCTTAGTAACTCTTCGTCTTCTGAGTTCATCATTTTGTTTCAACCCTCCACCCACTCTCACGTCAAATTTTCAGTTGGCTTTCATAAGAAACAATTTTTGATTCTTTGAATTCTGCTCACACAGATATCTTTCTATTCGACTTTGATCATAGATGTCTACGATCTCTTTCTCACGTTAGGTGGTATAATAAGGTAAGTAATGTTGACGTTAGGCGTAGAGTGTTGGGCAAAGAGGGAAAATCAATCATCGACGAGGCTATTAAGTTACATAGATTGAGATGGCTAGGTCACGTGTTGCGCATGCCTAGCCATCGCCTACCCCACCCCGACATGCATTACTAGCTAACTGATATAGGTGCAGGTTGGAAAAGAGTAAGTGGTGGGCAAACAAAAACATCGCATCAATCAATCCATGAAATCCTTCCTTGACAGTTAAACTGAGTCAGATAGGGAGATACAGACTTCCGGGTTGGGGCCCGCCCTCGGGACTCTAAGAATCAATGGCTGGAGACAGACAACAGGTGACATGGCTCAAAATCGTTGTCAATGGCTTACGAAGATGTATTCAGTCTGTGTAATATTCAGTCTCATATTCCTTTCTACCATTACTCATTCTGTTTCACTCTTATACTTGTCAAAACTCTATTGATTCTTTTCACTCATCTTCTTTTCTTGTCTACCTTTGTGTGCTATTTGGAACGTGAACACTCGAACTGCTGCACTTGGGTGCCAAGTTCTATGTTGAATCCAGACAGACAGATAGGCAGATTCGACTTTGAACACATCAAATTTCGATTTTTACAATTTTATGAGTTCGATTCACCTCTGATCGTGCAATTATCACTGACTTATCACCACCCTAACAACGAAATAGTTCATTTCTCACGGAAAACTTCGCTCTTATAAAGTATATATATACATATATGAATAATTTGAGAGCTCGCCTTGTAACTATAAGGTCCTGGGTTCGAACCGTGGAGGCGGGTGCATGCTGATAAAGAGTCCCAAACTAGGACGAAACATCTGGCTGTCGGGTACTCCCAGGTTTTCCAATGGTTCTCTAACCAATGTCATCCCATAATTAAATCCTGTAACCAATCAATCAAATCCCTACAAACCAACACTTAAATTTGAGATAACGTTATCATCCTTATGTTTTATCTCACTATGACGTTTTTTTTACAACAATCCTTAGTTGAGGACTGATTCATGAAGATAAACGAAATATGTGTTAAAATTGTATTAGAACTGCATTCATTAAATACTACAGGTTGTATGCAGCTGACGAGAACCGACGACGTAAAATAGACCCATATTGTTCTGCACTTTATGTCAAGTACCTTGGACTGAATATTTCCTCCGATCTTTCCTGGTCCTTTCACATCTTGTTAGTGAATAGAAAGCTGTTTCGCTTAACGTTCTACGTTAGGAAGTTTAGGCAATCTGGTATAAAGCAGTCTTTGCTTTCTCAGTTTGTCAATTCTTGTATTCTGATCATCCCTCTTTACTGCTACCCATTAATCTTTCCTGGACTACTTAAGAAAGATTTTGCTTTGCTACGTAGGGCACTAAAAGCTGTTAGTAGGGGAAGTGGGATTTCGTTTAACCAACTGGTTAACACCATTGCGGATAGACATATAATGTCATGTAAGAAATTAGCGAATACTATATTGTCAGACCCCGAAAACCCTCTCTATACGCAGCTCTCTCCTAGCATTTCATCTGGTAGAACTAGAAGCAACTATAGGAGGCTATATGCCAGGACTACCAAGTATAAAAACTCCACAATACCTTATTTGGCACAGCTGTTATGTGATGAGAAAACTGTTAGGCATGACACGATCAACTTACTGCGGCACTCTAACAAATAGTTCCCATTAGCTTTTGTTCTCCTTTCTTTGTTACTATTATATTGTTGCTCATATATTCTATTTACAGACCAATCTTATATATCATATCCTGTGGTGCATTGTTTAAATATGTGAATGCAATGCTGCTCTTTTTTACTTCTTTTATTTCTCTTTTTGTTGTTGTTGCTTTATATTTTTAAATCCTTATAAAATTTATGACGTAATTAGATGCAATATTGTAATGCTCGCTGAAAATTCCATACCTGTACCACAAATACTGTTTGGAATAAAGCCATTATTATTTATTTTATCTCTGTTCAAGAATGATGGGGAATTCAATCAAGGAATTGAACAATGGTGCATAGATTATATATGTCCGAGCCAAGTTCACTTTTAACGGTTTGAAAAAATTTGGGCATTGGGTATGTGATATTCATTATTATAAAGGTTTTTGTATTTCCCAATGAATGAAAAACAAAACGGTATTGTTTTTACTGACATTTCCCTATTTAATGCTAATAGCTTTATCTCTGATAACGGATGAGAAAGAAAAAGAAGAAGAAGAAATATCAAACATTACTGAAACTCTCAAGGAAAGCAACTACACAAGGGACTTCATCAACAAAATCAACACAGACATTAAGTATGTCCGAAAATGCATTCCGAAGACATGAACATCAACAGTCGTCATTCCATATAGAGCAGAGACGTCAGACGATATCAGAAGAGCACTCAATCAGCTGGACATTAGAGTTTTCTTTAAAACATTAGACACACTTCAAAGCAACCTTGTCCATATAAAAGACCGAATCCCTAAAGATTCTCTATCTAATTGTGTCTATAAAATAAAATGCTTGGAATGTGATGCGATATACATCGGACAAACATCTCGAGAAATGAAAATCAGAAGAAATGAACACCGTAGAGCATCTGTTCGACCACCGAGAAATCCAACTGAACTGAAAAACTTGAAAAATCATCAGCCATAGATCTACATGCTATAGAATCAGGTCACAAAATTGATTTTGACAATATTGAAATAATCAAGAAAAACTTCAAAAATCACAAAGAACGTCTAATATCAGAAGCACTTCATATCAAGTGGAATCCAAATTGCCTGAATAGGAATGATGGACTAAAACAGAATCTGACCTGATTACAACACCTCCCTCCCCCATCAAGTGACAAAATCAACACGAATGTGATAAGCAAGTTCACTATGTAAACACACACTGCCTTTATAATTTTAAACACTGATCAAATCCAACAATCTACACCTGGTTTTGTTATCTTTACCAAATGACCAACTTGACAACGAAAAATGACCCCAGACTGACGAACGATGATCAAGTTAGTAAACTTCGTTTTGATACCATAACAGATGTACTATTACCTTTGTTATTTGGTTTAGTGATCTTCATTGTTATTTTGACTTTCCATATGTCCCTTTAACTTGACCTAAGTCTATTTCCTCACCCTCCAACTCTTTGTTATATATATGCTGAGATTTTGTAAATTCTGGTTTAATAATACTACTTTGATAAAGCTATTAGCATTAAATAGCAAAACGTTAGTAAAAACAATATCGTTTTGTTTTTCATTCATTGGGAAATACAAAAACCTTTATTATAATGGTGCATAGAATTAAATTAACTAGTCGATTAGTTGTTCAATATCATCCGTCACAGACATCAAATTGCTTAGTTGAACTATAGCTCACATCTCACATATTCAAGCACCTATTTTCTTGTTGTTTTATAAAAATAAAATCGAGTAAGCATCAAAACAGAATTTGACAGACAGAGAGAGTCTTACAGGCAATCTAACAAGTTAGATTACGAACTGGCATCCGTCAGAGAAGTACTGGAGTACTGGACGGTTACTTCATCGTAGTTTGGGAGTAGTATTAGCAGTATTCACCCGCTACCCATTAATGAGGTGAGCTTATTGACCATTCAGTCACTAGGATGAAATCAAAGGGCACATGAATTCTAACCTCTACCGATTTACAATGTTATCGCACCGCCCTCAGGCAACCACAGTGATGAATATCTGTCCTCACAACCTCCTTGAATGTCCTGGATCTATTCTTCAGTAGGGTAATTGGTGTGTATTGTTTAAGTCCTAGAACAGGATGCAATATCTGTATAGCACTCCTTCGTTTTCAATGGTTCTCAAAGTGATGTCAGTTCATTATCTAGCCTGATATTAATCAAATATCTGTAAACGAACCCTTGAAAATTCCATATTATTTCTTCTAGTGGATATATCATAAAGTGAAACTCATTTGTTGACTCCACAGGCCCAGTTTTTCTATCTGATTGGCATATTTGATTTATTTAATTATTGGCCTTCAAAAATGGCCACCTACTGTATTGCCACCACTCACAATTTTCCACCCTTAAAAATCCATCGAAAAGCTGACAATAATCACCGGGAAACTGACAGACCAGGGTAGGAACTGGCACACAAAGTGATCAGTTTAAGTTGTCACAGCATTGCAAAAGCACTAATGAAGAAAGCTAGATTGAAAAACCAGGGAGCACTAGTCGGCTGTTTTTGTCTTAGTTTGAGGATGTTAGGCAGTACGCACTCATCGGGATTCGAACCAAAGACATTTCTGGTTAAAAAAGGTGCTCGTAGACTATTCGGCCACTGGGACCCGATCCTGGTTGGCTGGATTCAACATAGAACTTGGCACCCAAGTGCAGCAGTTCCAGTTGCCACGTCCCAATTAGCACACAAAGGTAGACAAGACAAGAAGATGAGTGAAAAGAATCAATAGAGTTTTGACAAGTATAAGAGTGAAACACAATGAGTAATGGTAGAAAGGAATATGAGACTGAATACATCTTCGTAAGCCATTGACAACGATTTTGAGCCATGTCACCTATTGTCTCGAGCCATTGATTCTTAGAGTCCCGAGGGCCCCAACCAACCCGGAAGTCTGTATCTCCCCACCTGACTCAGTTTAACTGTCAAGGATTTCATGGATTGATTGATGCGATGTTTTTGTTTGGCCACCACTTACTCTTTTCCAACCTGCACCTATATATCAGCTAGCTAGTAATGCCAGTCGGGGTGGGTGAGGCGACGGTTAGGCATGCGCAGCACGTGACCTAGCCATCTCAATCTATGTAACTTAATAGCCTCGTCGATTGATTGATTTTCCCTCTTTGCCCAACACTCTACGCCTAACGTCAACATTACTTACTTTATTATACCACCTAACGCGAGAAAGAGATCATAAACATCCCGACCGAAAGCTGCTACCTTGACGTGGTGGTCGGGCTTGAACACCCCAATGACCCAACAAGCTATACAGGCTGGAACTTATGTTCCTGTAGGTCCTACCATGCCAGAAAGGTTGTTTGGATAGCGGTTAGACAAAAAGAAGCTACCCAATCCAATGCCATGACTCAAACAAAATCACAAAATATCATGCCGGATCGGTCGGGCCCGGATTAACAACGACCGCGCTTCCTGCTGCCGTCTCACAGGGCAGAAGTGATAAATATGCTACTGAGACACACCAAATGAAAAAGAACAAACAAAAACAGGCCGTGTGTGACCGGCCTCAAGCAGTTGTCCCCTGGGCTCTGCGGTCACGCAACCAACTTCAACGATGTGGGCAACCGGGAAGTAACAATCACAATACGAAGTGCACGCGAAACCTCTCTAATGGGACCCGATCCAATGTGCCATGAATCCCAACTTCTACCGATTCATGGTATATGCTGCGCAATTGCTAGTCAACGTTGTCGGAGAGTACCTGTTCTTTTACGTGACTTGGTAAACTAAGCTGGTTACGACTCCTCACCGACGATGGTGACTGGAGATGGCGCGATATATGTCGCTGATTGGCAGAAGATGCAATATTCATGGGCTGTTGCGTTGGGTCGAAGTGGCTGAATGGTCTACGAGCTCACCCACCTTGTAACCGGAAGGTCCTGGGTGCATATCGTTGAAGAGTTCCAAGCCGGGTCGAAACAGCTGCCCAGTACTCCCTGGTTCCCCAATGGTGGTTCTGTAACAAATATCACCTCCTAATCAAACTTGCGATCAATCGAATCCCAGCAAACCAACATTTGATAATGTAAGATTAGACAGGACATTCTTGTCACTGAAAGTGACTGATTAATATTCACACCTAACATGATAATTGCAGTTGAAGTACAAGCTTACATCCCTGTAGGATTGGGACATCAACAACAACAATTAGAGGTGATCATCTGCTCCTCTCTCCCTCTCTCTCTTGTTCATTCGGATTTGAAATTGCATGTAAATGCAATCGGTAGTGAGACATACTTATTGTGATACAAAAAGTGAAACTATCAGATTGCTTAAAACCCTTATTAGATGGAATTTGGTCTGCACTTGTGACCTATCTATAGCAACATATATATATATATATATATATATTAAAAAGGTTTAACTGGTATTGAACGGAAAGCTAAGTAGCATATGTTCAGATAGACAGACGGAGATACTCACCTCGGGTCCTCGGGACGGTAAAAGCCAATGGTTGGAAACAATTGGTGACATGGCTCAATATCGTTCTCAGTGATGGTAGGTGCATATGCATCCACTCCTTGTGACTTATGATTTCCAATGAAACTGTTTTGTTCTCCGTTATTACTATTCCTTTGTCTCACACCTCTGTTTACTGTGTATATCATGCATTTCCCCTTTTTTTTCTCTTCCTTTGTGTGCTACATGGAGTGTGGCGACTTGAACTGGCGCACATATGTGCAAAGTTCTATGTCGAAAACCGACCGACCGACCGTTCAGATAGACAAATCTTTAGTGAAAATCTCCCATCGTGGTTTGGCAAAGGACAGACAAAAAACAATCCGTAGCTCAATTTTGTCACACTTAATTGATAGTGGTCATGTAATCGAGAAAACTAGAGCCTTCAAAGTAGTTCATCGTATCCCACCGAATCTTTCCATTAGACTTCGTATTCGTTTACTGCACACAGCTGAGGTGATAGGCATTCGAACTATTAAACCTAAACTATGTATTCAAAAGAAGTTCGTACAGCCATTATCCCTCTCGCGTTGGCCTACTAAAGCATAACCAATCGATGACCTCTACTCCACCCCCTACTTTTATTTTCAATCCCACTCTCTTATCATCCCTTGATCATATCACATCTTCATTATAAACGAGTTTCGTTTCCTTCCCTTACAATCTAACATTACTTAATCGGTTCATTTGTTTTTACTAGCCTTTATCGACTACTTCCACCCGAAACAGTTGTTTGTTTAATCATGCTGTTTTTCATTATTCGTGTTATCACACATCGCCTCACTTTTTCATCCTTATTATTGATAAGACCATTTTTATTATTATCACTATTATTATCATTACTAATATTATGATTAGTTGCACAATTTATATTCACCATCGTATTATCCTATAGACAAAACACCATGATTGGTTTATATTTGAATTTGTATTTGTAAACTTCTATATATTAGAGTTAAGCCTGATGAGATCTAATTGAAAACAATATTGTTTACTTAAATGTGTTGTTCTAAATTTTACTATGGGAATATTTAATATATTGAAATCTTTAGTAGTAAAACAAATGGGATTGAGACCTAGTGTCTATGTCCGCATTTTACAGCTTAGTAGAGAGAAATACAAACCTGAGTCAGAAACTTGCACATCGCAGGTGCAATTCTTACTGATGCTTAGATTTCGGTGCTGAACTTTAAACACCACAGCATTACATATGTGGAACGACAACTGATGACCAACTTATCGGAGTAAAGGAGATGAAAGAGAACCACTCACTGGACAACATAGTAATCATTTCAAGTAGCTCACCTCAATGTACACAATATACACTAAGCGCCTGTGAATTGTTCTCTATACACAGTTATAAAACTCAAGTGTTATGGAAGAAATTACATGAAATGGAACAACAACAACACAAAAAAAAGAAATAAACTTTATATAATACATCTTACGTAATTGACTATTAGGTCTTTGAGAGTAGAGTAATTCATACGGTGTATTATTCCATTGACTATGGGAAGATGAATCACGTGATAGACGTGATTTATTTTCATCCTGATATTATCAGAAGAAATAAAATAATAAAATTTATAAATATTTTAAAAATAACAGATGAAAAAAGGAATTGTATTAGTTTGTTGGCCAAGTTAAACTTTAGACACCAGTAACTACCAATCAGCGAACAACGTCAAATTATCCAATGAGATTCACGAACGTAGTTCAATGTTGCATAGCGCTTGATTCATTTCAAATGCGTGCCCTTACAAGGTTACGTTTGCAATTCGAGGAGGACAGTGTTTTCCAGTATTTTCTGCTCCGGAAGGAGCGAACTTTTTCGTGTGGGGGTATCATGACGTTAAAAAGCTATAGTAGGTCAACTGATGGATTTGTCCATCGTTGTGCTATATGCTTCAAGCGTGTTAGCATTAGAGAGGGTAAGCTGATAATTTTAATATTTCGTAGGAACTTTTTTTGCAAGGTTGACGCAAATTTTATATATCTGCAACTACTGGGTATTGAAACAGCCAGTGAGAACTGCAGCTGCCGAGACGGAGAACAGCCTCGTCTCAACTGTTCAATGGTACCAGCATTGTAGAGAAGATTACTTCGTTGTTGGGCGGGGACGGCGTTGTAATGCACGTGGATGAGACTATGTTGCTGAAGAAATACAATCGTGGTCGCCAGCGAGCGAATAATATCTGGGTTATAGATTTATACGATACTTCCCTCCGAAAAAGATTAGTTGAAAGAATAGGAGATAGAAAGGCGACTACGTTAATACCTATTATAAAGAGACTTATCAAACGGGGGTCAATTATACACACGGACGAATGGAAAGGTTATAATTCGCTTTCATCCTTGGGATATATTCATCACCGAGTGAACCATTCAAGCGATTTTGTGGATCCTGTTACCGGAACTCATACAAATTCTATTGAAGGATTTTGGAGCCCGTCGTAAAATTGGATCCCAAAAGGATCTCATTTATAGTCATTTAGATGAATATATATGTATAAAATGTGGTGTGACTTTTCTATTGACAGTCCGATGCTGAATTGGGAGATGTTTTTGTCCCATGTTCGAGAAAGATACCCCTTGTAACTGTTTTATCCTTTTTTCGTATGCATTTTTCTATAAATGTACGTTTCCACTTATCATAAACGCCTCTTTCATGTGATTGGTCCGTTCAAGGTCGTTTGCTGATTGGTTGTTACTGATGTCGAAAGTTTAACTTTGCCAGTTTGTTTATGATGATGATGATGTCACTTCTTATGTATGGGGTACAATGTAGGCACCGAGAAGTGAACCAAAAGTCAGTTGGCCTGATAGGATAAAAAACAAGGAAATCTGGGAACGAACCAATCAAGAACCTGTCGACTAGTATATATGTAGAAGGAAATGGAGATGGATTGAACACACGCTTAAACTATTAGGTGACGTCACGCTCCATTGGGACCTGAATGGGAAACGAGTTGGGCATTGGTCCGACGGTGATATAGAGGAGATCGTGTGAGAAGGAGGTAAGAGCCTATGGATAATCATGGAGAGCTAGCTAATGAGGACTTTAGAGAATAGGATGGAGTAGAAATGCACTGTTGAAGATGTTCCACTGGGAACCCAAGAGAATGATAATACTAAACCTGACTGTGTACCACACACTGATGACACTATTCAGGTGAATAGGCTGAAATAGTCTGAGCAGGATTCGAACTCAGGGTTCGTTGGATAAAAGTCAATTGTCTAAGAAATGAGCTGAATTTTCACGACGAATGTGGATAACTAACTATCATGGAAAAGAAGTTTGCTTGAGAATTAATACATTTCAATTATTTCACATGACTATGTAAAGAATTTCAACATTAATCTCAATAGTCAGTAGCTATTGCAGTATATGGATTTCCTCACATTTTAAAGCACAGGCTATTTAACAGTATGATAAAATAACACGAAGGTACAAAACTGGTCTGCGTCGACTTCCATTTTAAAGGTGTGGGGGATGAAGTGATTATATGTGCTGATCACTTTTACTTATTTGGGAAGTTGCATCAGCTCCAATGGACTTATTACTGACGAAATCTCTGCACGGATACAATTTAAGCCACGTTTCATGCATGTGTGATATCCTATTATTTATCCTATTATTATTATCGACAACGGAAAACTCAGCGAGGCTTTTGGAGTAAACACAGATATTCCTAATTGTGGTGGACTGGATTATGCGTCAGACAGTGCTAAACGAGAAGACAGGGATATCCTGGACCGACGTGAAGAATCTAGAAGACCTGGATTTCGCGCGTGGATAACTTATGCTTGATGTCACACAAAATCGAAGACTTACAAGCGAAAACCGACAAACTGGTCGAAGAAGCAGCCAGAGAAGACAGGACTCCAGGTGAACATAGACAAGACGGAGGTTTTGAAAATAACCAACCAACCAACAACAACAACAACAGCAACATCCAGCGCCGATCACCATCAACGGGAGGGATTTGAAAGAGGTTACTTCATTCACTCATCTAGGGAGCATTGTATCAACTACAGGTAGGTGTAACGGACGAGGACGTCAAATCGAGAATCGGGAAGGAGAGAAATACATTCATCAACCTGAAATCAATCTGGAAATCTTCGTCACTCAAGTCAACATCAACAACAAAATTCGGATTTTCAATACAAACGTCATGTCAGTCACTTCTTCTATACAGATGGATGAGAAACTTGGCGGGTCACAAAGAATGAGTATTTCCAACAGCCTGTTGCACACCTTTATCAACAACTAACTGTCTTCGCTGACTCTTTACTCAAGATCAGATGGCCGGAAAGAACAAGAACCAACAAGAAACAAACTATGGGAAGAAACAAAACAAGAACGAATCACCCAACAAATATGCAGGAGAAAGTGGAGATGGATTGGACACTCGCTGAGGAGGCCATTCGCTGGGTGACATCGCGCGTCAGGCCAACGCTCGAGTGGAACCCGAAAGGGAAGCGGTGGCGAGTGGGCCGTCAGTGCAAGGGTGACATGGAGGAGATCGTGTGAAGAAGAGTTGAAACAGTATGGACTAACATGGATGTAGGTGAAAAGTTCAGCAGAAGACAGGGACAAGTGGAGACGTGTAGTTGAAGCCCTATGTTCCACTAGGAACCCAAGGGAACAATAATAATGATAATAATACCAAATGGCTTGTGTACTACGCAACAGTGCATTCTGTCTTTTTTTGTAGCTACGGAATGTCACCATTGAAAATGGAAGCTTTGAAGAGGCTAGCTATCTTTGATCATAATTATTTGCGTCCTGTCATCTTCCGTGTTAAATGTTAAAAAATTTTGCAACTTATAATTGATTTTGTTTTTAGGATGAACTCTTGAAATAAGACGAGCTGATATTATTATTCTGCGAATATGTTCGTTCTTTCGTTACTCCAAGGAAATCGTTTACATAAGATCAATTGTTTTAAAGCTAATACGCTACCTAGTTGGTGTTTAAAATCAAAATCAAAATAATAATGAATATTATAAATAAACTGTATCACAACAATAGAGGGTTAACTTACACCGACAGTAGTTGTGTCTAAACGCGTTGAAGCCAACATGGATCGAGGGTTCATAGTTTCTATAAGATATCAAAAAAAGAAGACACAATGAGCACAAACACCTACCTTATGCATTGATTTATCACTACATTAGAAAGAATTCGAGTTGAATCTAACGAGGTAAACTATTGATGATGAAGTCGGCTTCAAAGAACCTAAGCATTGGTCTGATGTTTGATTTGATTTCGATCTGCTTAACAAACATGACTATTTGATGGCAAATGGTGTTCAACTATTATTCATGTTGATCATTCATTAGTATACAACATTAAATTATGAAATTAGCTTGACGGATGTGGGTAAAATGAAAATTCAAGAGATAATTATGCTTTACTATACACAATACTAAGCGTCGGTGGCATAGCGGTTAGGACGCTCGCCAACCATGCACATGGTCCGGGGTTCGAACCCCGGCCAGCGACGCACTCCTTTACCTAGCTAAGCCAGAAATAATGCTGGTAAAGAGGAAAGGTTGAGCATGAGGCTAGCAACCCTATCCTTAAAAATTAAACACTGCTACAGAAACTTCAGGCCACTAGCTTGAAGCCCTATGTTCCACTGGGGAACGTGAAGGATAAAAAAAGATACACAATACTATCATGAAATTATCACGTAGATAATTTGAAAACGACAAAGATGACTTACTATCCAAAATGCTTGAACATTCAGTAGCAAAAAGATCTACATCACCAGGACCTAAACTGCCTTGTTGACGTCTTTGTGGATGAAGGAAACTGAAATTGGCATTACAAGCTACAAAGAACAAAAACAAATGAAGCAATTTTCAAGTATTGGTTTTGTAAGGATTTTTTTTGATTGATTGGAGGAATTCATCAAGAGCTGACATCGGTTAAAGAACTGTCAGAAAACCTGAGAGTGCCGGACAGCTAGATGTTTTGCCAGACCAATTTGGGACTCTTCAGCAGTACGCACCCACCGCCATGGTTCGAAACCAGCACTTTCTGGTTACAAGGCGAGTTCGTAGACCAATAAGCCACTGGGATCCCATCCAATGGCGAGCCAATGAATTTTAACTTCTGCCAATTCATGACATAGTTTTGTAACCAGAAGATCCTAGGTTCGAACCCCAGCGGGTGCATACTGCTAAAGAATCCCAAACCAGGACGAAACATCTGTTTAGTACTCCCAGCTGGTTTTCCAATGGTTCTTTAATTGATGTCAGCTCATAATGAAATCCTTCAATAAATTCAATTTATCAGTTGAATAAGATAGTTTTAAACTATTTGAAAAAGAGTTAGCAGAAATTTAAACAGTACAAATGAAAACAGCATTTCCTGGAATGGAATCAGTTCAAGTTAACATGCACACACACACATATAGGATGAAACTTCAACCACTGGCTCATAGTATCATGAGGACACCGTATGATGAATATACTACATCGCTTCAAAAACTTTAACCAGGTATAAACTGAATTTTGAACGAAGAACAAGTTTGCATAAAAATGTAGAAGTTCAAGTTCTCACTCTTCATAAAGGACATTTTTCTGTAAAAAGAACAGTCGGATGGAAAAATGTGGATTTCATGCATCTGGGAGATGAAAAGGATGAATGTATTTCCGTCACTCAATTGTATAGTGGTATCTCTGCCTGTCACTTGGATGGCCAGGTTCCATTCACAGTCGGGGAGCTGGCTTGCTCCCGTGTTAGATGGTATAATAGAGCGAGTAATATTGAGGTTAGATGTCAATTATTAGGTAGGGAGGGGTCATAAAGCCACATCAATTGCTACGTATGTGTAACCACCGATCGCCTTCCTCGAAATGGGCAATGTTAGCTGACATACGATTTAGGTGGGAAAAGAGCCAATGGTGATCATGGACATCAGTCCATGGCTCAAAATCGTTCTCAGTGGCGCAGATGCATTCACATCCCGTGAACCGTCATTTTTTCCTTGTTACTATTCTTTCTCTCTTACATTTCTGCTTATTATCATCCCTCTGAATATCTTTTTTCCTCTCTTTTGTCTTTCTTTGTGTGCTACATATGTAGTGTAGCTACTCGAACCGCTGCTGTCTGCCTGTCTGTCTGTTTTCGACATAGAACTTTGCACATATGTGCGGAAGTTCAAGTCGCCACACTACCTCCATGTAGCACACAAAGCAACACAAGAAAGTAGGAGAAATGCATATTAGAGACAGTAAACAGAGGTATGAGACAAAGGAATAGTAATAACGAAGAACAAAACAGTTTCATTGGAAATCATAAGTCACAAGGAGTGGATGCATCTGCGCCACTGAGAACGATTTTGAGTCATGTCACCAGTTGTTTCCAACCATTGGTTTTTACCGTCCCGAGGACCCCAACCAGGAAGTCTACATCTCCCTACGTGACTTAGACTAACTGTTGTGGATTTCATTGACTGGTGCCAAGTTTTGGTTTGACCACCGCTAGCTAACTCTTTTCCAGCCTGGCCCTATATCAGCTAACATTGCCCATTGTCGAGGAAGGCGATGACTAGGCATACGTAACACATGTCCCAACCATCTCAGTCAATGTAATTTCACAGTCTCATCGATTGATTTCCCCGCTGCACTTCTGTACAAAGTTCTATAATTAAACCAGCTAGTCAGTCAGTCAGTCGACGATACTGAGAACAATTTCAACTTATTAACTGAAGTATTTACTGATTTGCACCAATCCAGTGGGACTGTCTCAGATTGCCACACACACACACACACCTAGTCAATAATTTCTTACAGATAACCTTAAACATACATATATATGGATTCATATAATCAGTTCTTGTTACTTTGCCTCATTGTATATTAGAAACTAACCGTCAGAGACTTCCTGCTTTGATCTGATAACTTATAATTTTAGCTCGAATGGTTAATCGAAAAAGTCAATGGCTCGATGATATCAGTAACACATGTTTCAGCTATATGAGTCTATGAGGACGTATCATCTTATCCAGGTCAGTTCAAAAGTCAGTTATTAGGAACAGTTTTCCATATACCAGGCTTTAAGCTACACTTATTGTATGAGAGTTGAGGATACTACCCAGTTGACATTGACTGCAATAACAAATCACTTGATGAGATAATGAGTATTGAAAATCAAAACAAATGGTGATTCAGCGAAGAAACTCTTTTCAACGAATTTATCATCAAGCTGTACAATCGTATATACATGTGGTTTTTAAGAAGTTATATCCAGTGAGGGAATTAAATCATAGGCGTGAATGCATAAAATCATAATGGTATGAAATGCAATCAAAACTAAAATATTTGTGATTATAATCGTAGTTAAACGTCAAGTGGCAAAGCAAATTAATGTCATATATAGAATAATTCATAGGATGGATAGAACTTGAAGAAGGGTGTGCAATTATAAGATTAGTAGACAAATCGAATGAAATAAAAACGTTACGTAATATTGTGTGAAATTTGATAGCACAGAATTAAAGGTTGTAAAAAAAGAATTGATTTAGAATGACAAGTGGAACAAGTGAAAGAATACCGGGGACAGTTCAAAGTGAGAGTAGTAATAGTAACAATTGACGTAATAAGGAAGAGTAAACAAATTGAATAGACAAAATTGGTAGAGCTAAAATATGATTGGGGATTACCATAGTTTAGCATAGGGGGATTAAGACCATGAAAGTTGGAGGAGTTGAACGAACTTTTTCTGTGCACAGAGATCTGACTTTTCTGTTTCGATAGCCAAAGCTTCAGCAATACAGATCAGTCGGGTACGTAGTGATTTAGGTAAATTACTTTTTGCCTTGTAGATGACTTTAAAGGCGGAGGCTATAGAGATAGGGTGATCATTATCGACCAGAGATGTTCAGTGATCGCGCTTCTTATTGCTCCACTTCCACCTTTTTTAACCATGCAGGATAGTGTTCTTGCACCCTCTTGGACAAAACTCGAGTCGAACGACCGATATACCTAGCTCCACACGAGCAGGTGAATTGATAAACACACAGAGTTGGTCAACAGCGGGATCTTGTCCTTCAGGTTATTGAACAGTAATGGTCGACTAGTAAAGGCTAATGAGTATTCACCAGATGAAGTTATCAAGACATGAGTTACGCACACTGAGCCACCATTCATTAAGTTCAGAACGGCATTAATGAAGGATAATTCAAGATGAATTTGCCTGCACCATCATAAACTATCTCCAGATATGTTCCAACTATTGATTTTAAGCACCACAAGGACCTCAGTCAAGCAATCTCCATATCCCTACATAACTTAGATCAATGACTTCAGGGACTGGTGCCATATTACATTCTGTTATTCTATAACTCTTCTTCAAACTAATCCTACTTCAGATAACAAGTGGCAATGGGGTCACCACTAGGACCCATTCTAGCCGACATTTTCCTTGCGAAACTAGAAAAAATGGGCCTTTGAAGGATGTTATTAATGAACTCGAATTTTATTGTCGGTACATGGATGATACTTTTTTGATTATGAAGAATGAAAAGGAAGCAAAGAACATCCTGGATAAATTTAATGAGGTACATCCTGCAATAAATTTTACTATTGAGAAAGAAAAAGACTCTAGTATTTCATTTTTAGACGTCCTTATGACCAGAAAAGAGGACGGCACAATAAGAAGAAGTGTTTATAGAAAACCTACATCAACGGGCCAGTACACACATTTTCTCAGCTTTGTGCCCTTGAAATACAAACGCAATCTAATAAAGTGCTTGGTCCACAGAGCAAGAGAGATTTGCTCGGACGAATGTCTTGACGAGGAACTTAACAATATTAAACGGTTGCTAAGTGAGAATGGTTATCCAGAAAAGTTTATTGATAAGAATCTGAATCTGAAACCAAAGCAGCCCAAGTTACCAACAGTTCCAAAAAAGGCCTTATTCTTACAGATGCAGTTCCTAGGAGACAACACCAGTGAGATACTAACACAGCGCCTTAGAAATGCGGTAAAAAGAGCATTCCCTGCTGCTGAATTACGCTGTATCTTTAAAACCACTCCTCTTCTGCGTTCGGGAATAAAAGACAAACTGCCTAATTTCGCCTCTTCCATGTGTATCTACCAATTTAACTGCTCCTGTGGAATGAGCCAGTTACATAGGCTGTACAATTAGGCGTGTTTCTCGTCGAATTTCCGAACATCACCCTGCATAGTGGTTAAGCAAAGGACAAACAAAATCTATTCGCAGCGCTATTCTATCTCATCTTGTGGAGACAGAACACAAGATTGACGTTAATCATGCTTTCAGGGTCATTTACCGCATACCTACGAATCTCAATTTTGCCTTAAGAGTTCGACTACTAAATATTGCTGAGGCTGTGGGGATCCATATTAACAAGCCTAATTTATGCATCCAAAAGAAGTTAGTTCAGTCATTATCATTACCTTGGCCATTCAGGTTTGAATAATCCAGAATTTTTGTGGAATTTCCCTAATTTTAGTTGATATTCTATTTGCTATTATATCTTTATTATTATTATTATTTAAGCATCTTTAATGAACTGTAATTGCATTGATCATACTTTACAAATCGATATTATTTAAAAAACGCTAATATTGTTATTAACTACTAATTTAAAATATTCTGTGTATATAAACATGCATATATATAATTGTAGAGCCTGGAAGAGGAATTTATCGAAAAGAATATTCTTTGCTCGATTATTTTGTGTTTTATAGATATCTGAATGAATATTTCTGCTATATTGAAACAAAGATGTTGGCTCCATATACGTAAAAGACGTGTCTTAGCTATCATAATAAATTGATTTCCTCTCCTGACTCCATGATTTACGACTAACCACGAGTTGTTCCGTTTAACATGAGCAATTGAACAAAAACCTTTTGTATCTACTTAAAATGGTCACTTCTCATAACCATAGAGTAGGATGGGGAGAACACTACAAATGTTCATTTGATAAGTAGCCGGATATATGCCAAAAATGACGAAAATTGGCATATGTTGGTAGAGAGTTAATCCATCTCGTAACTATCGGTGTGCACTATCACTGAAGACAATAATAATATAAAATACGACACTAGAATAGTAAAATATCAAATGGTGAATAAAATTTTTTTAAACTAGTGGAGCTGGGTAAACACCTTAATATAATAAACAACACTAAAGGGACAATAACTCACATGAAAAATCTGCAAATCCTGTCTTTGTTTCTGGAAGATCTGTGTAGTCATCGAATTCTGTAGGCTGTTTTCGAAGCGAACCAAATTTATCAATCTAAAGTATAAGTAGAAATAAAAAAACAATAGTGGCGTGGGTTTAGTAAGCGAAAAACACAAAGAAGGCAGTAAGTAATTACATCCACCAAATGATGTGGTAAAGTAAAACAAACCCCTTTTGGAAACTGCGGTAGATAAGACTACTGAGTCTAGTTGACCAGAACAGACTGTTAGTGCATCAGACTATGAGCCACATATATTGTATGAGAGTTGATGACAATAACCAGCTGACCAGGATAAATGAAGTAGGTTTGGTGGGATTTCGAGTCCAGGATCCATTGTGATTGAAAGTCGACTACTCAAGTCTATGAGACGTAACCCCCCCCCTCCATGAGGTGTTTGAATATAACAAGATAAAATCATCTAAAATAACCATTTTATTATTTTCTGTAAATATTTAGTTTCTCCTAACGTATAACGATGAAGCAAATTTATCAGAGAAACGAAAGGCCTTATCAGATTTCCTTTCATGCAGCAACAGGATCCTTTGTAAATTTTAATAGAAAATTTCAAGTGTTGGTTTGAAACGATCTTGATCATGAACTGACTTGAAAAGTTCTTCATTAAGAGGTGAACACATTCAGCATACATTTATCTATCTGGAGTTCTTATGAGAAGTTGTGACCAGTTTGGTCCATCAAATGGGATGTGAAGAAAGATATTCAACGACGGCATTCAAAGCAGTCTCAGTCAGTCTGTCTGTCTTTTTCCGACATAGAACTTTGCACATATGTGCGGCTGTTCAAGTCGCCACACTCCTTCCATGTAGCACACAAAGCAAGAGGAGAAAGTAGAAGAAATGCATAATATAGACAGTAAACAGAGGTGTGAGACAAAGGAATAGTAGTAACGAAGAACAAAACAGTTCCATTGGAAATCATAAGTCACAAGGAGTGGATGCATCTGCGCCAACCATTGACAACGATTTTGAGCCATGTCACTGATTGATTCCAACCATTGGTTTTTACCGTCCCGAGGACCCGAACCAGTCAGGAAGTCTACACCTTCCTACATGGCTGGCTTAGACTAACTGTTGTAGATTTCATTGACTGGTGCCATGTTTTGGTTTGACCGCCACTGGCTAGCTCTTTTCCAGCCTGACCCTATATATCAGCTAACATTTCCCATTGACGAGGAAGGCAACAGCTACGCTAGGCATACGTAAGACATGTCCTAACCATCTCAATCGGTGTAACTTCCCAGCTTCATCAATTGATTTTCCCCCCCCTTTCTAGCACTCGACCGAAGCCTCACCTTAATATTGCTCAGTCTATTATACCACTTAGATAGAACGCAGACACCTATGATCGAAGACAGCTAATGTTTTCATGTCTTCCACTCTCAATGGCCATGTCTCACAGCCATAAAGGAGGACGGAGCGGACTGATGAGCAGTACATGCGCTCTTTGGTCGATAGTCGGATATCACGTCTACGCCAGGGACGGCGTAAACTGTAAAGCAGTAGCTTTGTATCACTTGAAATAACAAAATTTAGAACTCATGGGTTACAGGAATCCAACGGAGTTGTTGAGTGATTAATGCACTGGCTCTGTAACCTGAAGGTCTTAGTTTTTATATATGTTAATGTCATGGGTACGTGCTGCCAAAGAGTCCGAAACAAGAACAAGGCAGATGTTTGGTACTCCCTAATTGTCAATGGTCATCTAACTAATTTCAGTTCATGATAAAATCAATCTTGAAATAATTATTCCTCAAAATAATATAGATGTACAATCGTAGAACCTGAAGAAGAAATTGTCGAAAACAATATTCTTTATTTACTAATCATTGACATAATGTCTAGTAGGAATTTTCAAAAGGTATTATGCTAGTTGTATCAAATCGACTGTATGCGATTATTCAAAAACTAAAAGCTTTCTTGCTCCATGCCCTCAATACCAACGTCTCCGACTACAATTTAATCAAGCACCGCTAACTGAAGTCTCGTAAGATAGTGAAATATGTTCAACTACTCATCTTAATTTATGTTCTATGTGATGCATATATTCTGCTTTCGTATCTCAAGACGCGGACAGAGACGGAGGCAAGCTTTGTGATGGTTGAGTCCTGGTTTAGCTAAAGATGATTCGGTCGCGAATGGTTTGAATTCAGTTGCAACCCAGATTTTCATTTTATTTATTTTATTTGATTCTTCTATTATTCATTACTAAATTGATCTTCGAGACCATTACTTTGCTCTCCGAGTGCAGTAGAGGACGTTAAGCTTCAAGCTTTAACATTTTAGTAGAAGTAGTGTCGTTAATTTAATATGATGGGGGGGGGGGGGTTGCTAGGCTAACACGCAACCTCCCCTCCTCTCTTTCCCAGGTTTCCTATCGACTAGTTAACTAGCAGACGTTTAGGAGTACACCAGCCGATAATCGAACCTGAACTACGTGCGTGGTTGGCGAGCAATCATCAACCGCTGAACCGCCAACGAACAAATGAGACTACCAGTTAGTCACAACAATGTGTCACTTATAATATTGAGTCTTATTATAGAAACAACTCTATGAGGCAGTTACTAACTTACACCATCTCTGGCTTAGGCGTGACATCCACCTATCAACCAAAGGACGTGTGTACTGCTCACCAGTTTGCTCCGTCCTTCTCTATGGCTCTGAAACATGGTCAATACGAGTTGAAGATATGAAAAGGTTGACTCTTTTTGATCATAGATGTCCACGATCTCTTTCCCACGTTAGGTGGTATAATAAGGTAAGGAATGTTGACGTCAGGCGTACAGTGTTGGGCAAAGAGGGAAAATCAATCCAAGAGGCTACAAAGTTACATAGATTGAGATGGCTAGGTGACGTGCTGCGCATGCCTAACCATCGCCTCCCCCACCCCGACGGGCATTACTAGCTAGCTGATATAGGTGCAGGTTGGAAAAGAGTAAGTGGTGGCCAAACAAAAACATCGCATCAATCAATCCATGAAATCCTTCCTTGACAGTTAAACTGAGTCAAGTCAGGTTGGGAGATGCAGACTTCCGGGTTGGTTGGGACACCCTCGGGACTCTAAGAATCAATGGCTTGAGACAGACAATAGGTGACATGGCTCAAAATCGTTGTCAATGGCTTACGCAGATGTATTCAGTCTCTGTAATATTCAGTCCCAAATTCCTTTCTACCATTACTCATTCTGTTTCACTCTTATACTTGTCAAAATTATATTGATTCTCTTCACTCATCTTCTTGTCTTGTCTACCTTTGTGTGCTAATTGGAACGTGGCAACTGGAACTGCTGGACTTCGGTGCCAAGTTCTGTGTTGAATCCAGACAGACAGACAGACAGATGAGGCAGTCAACAGCAATTTCAGATAATCAGCCTACGTAAATATCGAAATGTTCATCCTTTTGGGTTTCATTGTGAACTATACTCAGCCTACCTGTTAATTGACAAACTATCAAATTTTCAATGAATTAAAATAGATTCTTAGTTTAATCAATAATAAAACAGCAGATTAATCTGTATATAGAATAACTTACATCACCATCATGGATACTAATCTTTTTGTTATATAGATCTTTTGCTTTCAAATTTAATGAGTGTTTAAATGTTGACATTGTTTCACTTCCACTTTCATCATCATCGCCATCATCATCATCGTTATCATCATCGTCTGTCTCACTTTCCTCTGCTTCATCATCAGCAAAAAGACAGACACGACGTTTCGATGACTTCACGTTAACTACATCGTCATCATCCTCGTCTGCATTTTCGTCTTCCTCTGCCTCCTCCTCCTCTCCTTCTTCCTCTTCTTCTTCTTCATCGTCACCACCACTCCTTTCCTCTTCGTCATCAGTTGAACTGGAATCTTCAGATAATTCGCTACCTTCAGCCTCATCATCACCTTCTGACCATTCTTCATCACTGTTTGATGCTTCCTATGTGGAAAAGGCATAACGAAGAAACAAGAAACATTATGCTAATCAGTTAGAGAATATTGATTCTACAACGAGATAACTAACTAAGTTACATGGGTTCTGGGTTCGAACCCTGGCGGTACGTGCGTAATGCTGAAGAGTCCCAAACTAGGACGAAACAGTTGTCCAGTACTCCCAGGTTTTCCAATGATTCTCTAACTAATGTCAGCTCATGATGAAAATCCTGTAACCAATCAAATCCCTACAAACCAACACTTGAACTACGTTACATATTTCACAGCTGACTTCGCTGGCTCCATACGGAAGATCAGATGATGGTCGGTTAGTACGAATAAGCAGTAAGGAACTCTGAAAACGAACCGACCAAGAACCTATCCTTCAACAAACATACAGAAAAAACCGGAGATAGATTGGATACACGCTGAGGAGACTGTAGAGGGGAATCATGCGCCAGACAACCCCATTAAGTAGAGTAGAGTAGAGCCCGGATAGGAAACGGTGAGACGGACGTCTACAAATGACATGGAAGGGGCTGTCATGAGTTGGACAAAATGAAAGCTTATAGGCAACCCTAGAGCGGGCTAAAGAAGACTGTAGAGAAAGAAATGAAAGGGAAATGTGCCGCTGAAGCCCTATGTTCAAACTTGGAACCTAAGGGAATAGTAATATATTTCATAGTATGGACCAGTAAGGTGTCCATTATGGCAGACTGAAGCGTATGTCACTTGATGATACTGATTGGCATTAACACTATATCGCAAAATGATGGAAGTTAGAATTCGCAGGTTACTGCATACCAGCCAGCTTCAACGACTGAATGACCAGAACTCTCATAGATAATTACATGAATAATTATACTGTGAAATTACGTAATCACAGTTGCCTTATGCATAAGAAAAAGAAAATGACACGGTGGAGACGCTGGTAAATAGCTAAGATCTGATCAAAGTTACTTTTCTTAACAGTTCATATAAAACTATATTGATATGTAAAGGAACACAAAAACCTTATCTGTAATAGTTAACTTCATATACGCTTACCTAATAGACCATTTCATGTTCTATTCTGTAATTACACCGGTGCACAATACGCTAGGAAACTGAATTCTTCATAAGATAATTGACTGGTAAAACACTAATTTATTGACTAAAGTCACATACTGACTAAGTCACACTCCATCCACTAATTTCACCCAAGAGTAACTGGGTACCATCATCAAAATTCGCACAAGATGGATGGTTAATAGGCCTAATGCATGAAAATCCTGGTCTTGGTAGTATGTCACTTGGTCGGTGATGGCTGGCAATGAAATCCAAAACACGCTTTTGTCCCATCTGCGATTTATCATCAGGACGTACCTACAACCCCACTAATTGATGGTGTTCTTAAAGAGACTTGAACCCATTACTCATCGTTTCAAACACCAGAGTTATCTACTAAGCTACTGGGTTAGAATCTTAGTCGGAGCACCATAACTCAGTAGAGATACAGGTACATTCAACTGAAGAGTTGCAAATAAGATTAAAAGCGCATTATGCATTCCACTACTAGGCCACTCTGCCAACCAAATAACCCGTGTTTATCTCAACGTATCGTCGAAACATTCGTACTAGCAGTTAACATGTAAACATAGATTAGGCATTTAGGTCCAATACAATCAATCAACGGAAAGTTCAAAATAACCTTGACAAGTCAGTAATAACTAACTATGTGGTGAGAGCTGTCTACTAGCCAAATTGGTAGACAGTAATTTACGTCAGTGTTTAAGTTCCCAAGATTGGTCGTGAGGAAATGTGAACAAAGATTGATTCAAAACCGACCACAGCAGACTTTGCGTAGGCGGATGCAGTTAACATATAGAGGATTTGACATTCAAGAAACAGTCACAAATAGATGAAAGATTAACTTTACGTGAGAAACAACCGATCGGAAGACTGTGTTTGTTTGCTTAAATAACCATAGTAATGTACATGAAAATATATATAAATATGCGTTGATTTCCTTAATAAATGATCTGTTGCCTGACTCTTGCCTTCTGTCGTTACAACTACTGCATTCTCATATATAATATAAGCAAGTCGACCAACGCTGAAATTTATCAGACTTTGTCAAAGAGAATTAAATGAATTAATCAAAGTAGGTGAATGATTTCTTTGTCCGTAGACTACCTGGTTGGGTTCCTCAGGATGCCAAGAACCGATAGCTTGATACTATTGGTAATATGGCTCAAAACCGTTGTCAGAGGCGTAGATTTTTTCAAATTCCTTTTCTTTCCCAGTGGAACATACGGCTTCAAGCTAGAGCTTCGAAGTTTCGATAGCAGTGGTGTTTAATTTTACAGGGTGGGGTTGCTAGCCTCTCAATACCCAACCTTGCTTCTTTACTGGTCTTGTTACCGGCTTACCGAGGTAAAGGAGTGGTGTCAGCCGGGGATCGAATCTCGGACCACATGCATGGTTGTCAAGCAGTCTACCACTAAGCCACCAACGCAGAGTGACATAGATGCAGGCACTCTTTTAAGTCTCCCGCATCCAGTAAATCCGCACATTTCTTCACGTTATTATTATTATTCTTTCTCCCATATGTTTCTGATCATTATTGATCTTTTGAATTCTTTGTTTTCTACCTTTATTTATCATACTCCTTATGACAACTTGAACTGCTTCCCTTCCGTGCAAACCTCTACGTTGAAATTCAGTCAATCAGTCAGTCAGTTGACATGGGGGCACATATAATTAAAAGTCAATCTGAACGAAGAATATTCTTTTCAATAATTTCTCTTCAGGTTCTTACAATTATAAAATATATATACATATAATTGTCAGGTAGAATTTCTTGTCATTCATTTAAAGGCATTACAACAAAGAGATGCGTACACAGAACACAAACACATACCTCAGTGTTTTCATTAGTTGACTTTTTCGAACCGCATAAACCCTCTTCTTTTAATCGTGCTTCATATTGTTGTAGCCTTTTTTGACGCATTTTTTCTTCAAGAAGTTTTCTATGCTCCAACCACTTTTTTCTACTAGTTGATAAAACTGATGATGAACTCGTAGAAGTTCGATGTGTAACTGTCTCCACTTGAAGTTCTTCTCTGTCGTTATCATTTGTTTGAACCTTATATAATTGAAAAGAAGGAAGGAAAGAAAGAAGAGAAATAATGAAAAGTATAACAGACAAGATGAAGAAGGACATATGATGAGTAAGCCAGTGTAAAGATGTGGGCCCAACCAACTTCTAAGTACACGACTTTCAAATAATGACAGCCGGGTTCGAATCCTGTTTCATCAACCCCAGCCTGATTAACTAACTGAGCAGGATCATTAGTTTTCACGCACACACAAATAAGTGCAACTCATACCATATACCGTATATAGGAAATCTAATATGGGTGACTGAGTCTAACAATAAAACAGGATCGGTCAGCACACAATTACTTTCCAAGGGAATCAATTTCAATTTATCAACATTTTGACAATTTTCTCCAAAACACTACTGCAGCCCAACATCAGCTCACAAGTAGGTTCAGTTTTTCGTTTGGAATTTTAGTATTATGGGAATTTTATGTTGTGACTATTTTATTATGTGAGCCATTGACGAATTGCTATAGTAATATATACGAAAAACGAATCAACTGTTTAGGAAAAAAAGGTATGCTTTCAAGAGATATGGTGGACTATTTGAATGAGTGGGCTATCTGAATTTCTATCCAAACACAACGCATCATATTTTCTCTAGTTCTTTTTGTCTTAACCATTTACAATTTCTTTTATTGCATGGAGGATTTCATCATGAGTTGACATTAGTTAGGGAACCATTGGAAAACCTGCAGGGAGTACTGGACAGCTGTTTCGTCCTCGTTTGGGACCCGTCATCAGCACGCACCCCCCACCGCCAGGGTTCGAACCCAGGACCTTCTGGTTAAAAGGCGAGCTCGTGGACCATTGAGCCACTGGGACCCGATCCAATGGCCAGTCCATGAATTCTAACTTCTGCCAATTCACGACATAGCGCGACCATTTCATAATGTCTTCTTCGATGAGTTACTGCCTCATCTTCAACCTGCTGTACCCTACTGGTCACGGCTTCCCACTAGAACCCCAGGTTAACTGCCTGAATAGGGCCAGTCACTAGTGAGCATTTGAGCATTTTTTTATTACTGCCTGATCCCATACCGTATTTTTTGGTACAGGTATGGAATTTTCAGCACGTGATATCGGTGGTAGCCCAAATTTTGCAGGCCGACAGGGGGATCGAACCCCGGACCATGTGCATGGTCGGCGAGAGTCCTAACCGCCGTGCCACCGACGCGCACAGTCGCAAAATGTACTTACGGTCATTTTTAATTGGCTTTCTAACTATCAGTGCGCATTTCCGGGAGAGACAAGGAAGGTTATAAAAAGGGGTTAGTCTATATTTTAAATCGAGCACAATTGAGTTACGTTATATACTACAGATTTCTATTTCACTTCAGGATCGTGGATGAATAGAAAATACATTATGCAACAAATTACGTTGAGAATTCTGTGTATTGTGTAAACATTTCGTCCAAAATAAAGCCAATATTATTACTAATAGCAAAAGTAATATTTACACGCTATATGGCTAAAAATATCCATACTTAAATACTGACTGACTGGTTTCAACACAGAACTTTGCACAGATAAGCAGCAGCAATACGAGTTGTCACACTCCCTCCATGTAGCATACAAAGCAAGAGGAGACAGTAAAGAAAGATTCAAAAGAGAGATAATCGACAGAAATATGAGGCAAAAAGAATAGTAATATCAAAGAACAATATAGTTTCATTGGGTATTATAAGTCACAAGGAGTGGATGCATCTGCACCATTGTGAACAATTTGGAGCCATATCACCATTTGTCTACAACCATTGGTTTCTACCGTCCCGAGGATCCCAACCAGGATGTCTGCATCTCCCTATGTGGCTGGCTTAAACTAACTGTTGTGGATTTCATGGACTTATGAGGCTATGTCTTGGTTTGACTACCACTAGCTCTTTTCCAACCTGAGCCTATTTCAGCTAACATTACCCATTGACGAGGAAGGCGATAGCTACGCTAGGCATAGGTAACACATGTCCTAACCATTTCAGTCGATGTAATTTCACAGCCTCGTCGATTGATTTCCCCTCCCTCCTTACCTAGCACTCGACCGAAGCCTAACTTCAATATTGATGTCTATTATACCACTTCACACGGGAGATAGAACGCGGACACTTATGATCAAAAACAGCTAGCCACCCTTTTCATGTCTTCCACTCTCAATGGCCAGGTCTCACAGCCATAAAGGAGGACGGAGCGGACTGATGAGCAGTACACACGCCTTTTGGTCGATAGCCAGCTGGATATCACGTCTACGCCAGAGACGGCGTCAACTGGCATATGCGAAACTAGCCCTCTGTATTCGTGCTGAGATTTCGTCAGAGACTTAAATACTATATAAAATATACTTGAATAAGATAAAAAAATGACGTAACTCCATGCTGTTGTTAAACGCTCTGGGATGTGTATTACATTGAGATTTCGATAATGTAATTTACGAACTGACATCAGTTGAGATCACTGGAACCAGACAGCAATGGATTATGCGTTTTGATGTGGTTGTCTTCTCTGAGCTGGATGGTGGTTTAATTGAGAAGCTTTCATTGACTATCTTCTAGATAACATCTTCAATACAGATTTCACTATGAAGTTATTACCTATAAAGACAACTAATGTTGAGTAACATTTCCCTACTTTTTATTTTACTTATTTTTTTACACGGAACATACCTTTGTTATGATCGAATATTCAACAGATTCTGGGACAACTTTTTCATGAGATACTGTAAGATGCTTTTTTAAACGAGCCAGTAATTGATCGGCAGGTGTTATCCTCGGTTTTGAAGAAGAAGATGAAGATGAAATCGACTCGCCTGTAAGAGAAAAACAGTCAGTACTTTATTGAAAAATAAAAACATTTTTTGGATGATGAATGGGGACTTGGAATATGGTTTCAATGGCGATTTCTTTCTTGACGAACCAATTCATTTCTAATTAGTGTTGGTTCTTGATAAACTCTACATCCATTGAAATTAATCCAAATCCCTACAAAAAAGACCATAATCTAAGTATGAACACAAAGCTTAGCGATGGCGGCAACTGGATGGATATTCTTAAGCTGTACTGAGAAGTCAGTGGGGCCCACCACATCAAAGTAGAATGGATGCTCATCGAGAGCGTTAAGTTGGGGATGGCGCTATAGTACTGATGGACAGAAGTTAAAATTCATGGATCGCTGAAATTCCAGTCTAAGTGGATGGATGAGTGGTTAACAAGTTTGGCATTGGGTTTGACTTGAGTTTCTATCCTTGCTGAGATTATGGATGTGCAGTCCTGAAGAGTCAGTCTAAAGTAGGGTGGAACACCTCTCAAGTGTTGTCTGATTTCGAATGATCTTTATAACTGCTATTGGTTGGTGACAAAATTCACAATGAAATATACATCAGCTGACCATACCTTAAAGTATGTTTACATATCTGAACGCCTAACAGAATACAACTGAGAATTCAGCTACTGGGACGGAATCCAACGGCCTATGAATTCTGACTTCCGTCGATTCACGACTGATTAGTTATTTGAATTCAGGTTAACTAATTAGGCGATTACAAATTACACAATCCGAAGCTAGAGATATAATTCTATTCTGTTAATTAGTGATTTTGTATTTTGCACTGAAAATATTTCAGATGTATGACCTTATCCTTTTTTCTGTTCCCTTGGGTTCCTAGTGGAACATAGGGCTTCAACTACACGTCTCCACTTGCTTCTGCCTTCTGCTGTACTTTTCACCTGCGTCTATGTTAATCCATACTGTTGTTGTTGTTGGTTGGTTATTTTCATAACCTCCGTCTTGTCTATGTTCACTTGGAGTCCTGTCTTTGCTGCTTCTTCGACCAGTTTGTCAGTTTTCGCTTGTAAGTCTTCGATATTTTGTGACATCAAACATAAATCATCCACGCGCGAAATCCAGGTCTCTTAGGTTGTTCACGTCGGTCCAGTATATCCCTGTCTTCTCGTTTCCCACTGTCTGACGCATAATCCAGTCCAGTCCACCACAATTAGGAATATCATTCGGTGATAGTAAGCACCCTTGTCTGACTCTTGTGTTTACTCCAAAAACGCCTCGCTGGATTTTCCGTTGTGGATCACTTGACATGTGCTGTTGTCGTACAGCTGTTGAATGAGGTTGATGAATATTTGGGGCACGCCGTAGTACTCGAGTAGTTTCCAAATTACTTCGCGGTCAACGCTGTCGAAGGCCTTCTCAAAATCTATGAAGTTAAGGTAGAGGTTTGATTACCATTCCATGCTTTGTTCGATGATGATGCGTAGAGTTGCAATTTGGTCAGAACATGATTTGCCTTTCCTGAATCCAGCTTGTTCTGGTCGGAGTTCTGTATCCAACGCGTCCTTGATTCTCTCCAGGATGATGCGACTCAGGATTTTACTTGGCGTCGACAGGAGCATGATTCCTCGCCAGTTCTTGCAGAGCCTGTAAGTCGCCTTTCTTTGGTAGTTTCACCAGGTAACCTTTCTTCCAGTCAGTAGGCACCTTTCCCTCTTTCCAGACCTTTGGCAATAATGGAGTCAGCATATCTGCTGTCGTCTACGGGTCCGCTTTCAGTGCTTCATTGGGTATTCCATCTGGTCCAGCTGCTTTTCCAGCTTTCAGTAGCTTGATTGCATTCAAGACTTCAGCTTTCGTTGGAGGATTGGTGTCAAATTGCAGTTGTGTACGTGTTGCTGTTGGTATTCCTGCGACCTTATCATTACCCCTTGCAAAAATACCACTGAAATGATACTTCACAAGAACGGAATGAAAGGAAGGGGGAAAGAGACACAGAGCTAGAACAAGGACTTTCACTCATTAAAAAAATAATAATACAACCTGATCAGTGGACAATAATTTCACATTAATTCATCTCAATAAAATGATGGACTTATAAATCTTCTGATATTTTGTTATCCATAAGATGATGATCTTGAATTTCATTGTCAATAAGAAATTGCTAAGATATAGGGGAATATATGTCTAACTTGCTAAACATTGATTAACGCATCACAGATGACAGTACTCAAATTTATAAACCCAAAACTCCATAGCTGAAGTTGGCCGCAAGTGTTCGACTTTAGTCATTGAAATTTTAGTATGTAAGTCCATTAGTGACTTTCAAGTGTTGGTTTGTAGGGATTTGATTGATTGGTGACAGGATTTCATCATGAGTTGACTTCAGTTAGAGAACCATTGGAAAACCTGCAGGGAGTACTGGACAGCTGTTTCGTCCTAGTTTGGGACTCTTCATCAGTACGCACCCACTACCAGAGTTCGAACCCAGGACCTTCTGGTTACAAGGCTGGCCACCTCGTATACCATTAAGCCACTGGGACCCGATACAATGGCCAGCCAATGAATTCTAACTTCTGCCAATTCACGACATACAGCGACCCCTAGCCAATGTCTTCGACGAGTATTTGTCCTCACACCCGACCTGCTGCACCCTACTGGTCACGACTTCTCACTAGAACCTCAGGTAACTAGCTACCTGAATAGGGCAAGTCGCTAGTGAGCATCTCATTGATATTCAAGTGTTGGTTTGTAGGGATTTGATTGGTTTCAGGATTTCATCATGAGCTGACATTAGTGATGGATGGAAGCTTAGAATATCAGCTAAAAGTAGTGGATATATATATATATATATATATCAGCATGTATGCTTTGTACTCAATAATCACATATTACAAACACTCACATTTCGAAGCAGTCATCAACATGTCATACCTAATATATCTGAGGGCTAATCATACTACTTAACACATCTGACTGTCCAAACATCGGTAGTTGGGGCCGGATTCCAACTGTTGACCCTTCGGTTGGTGGTAGCCAAGCGGCTAGACCAATGAGACAGAGAACCACATTCAAATATCAACAATGACCGAGTTTTTAAGAAACAAACACAAACAGTATGGACAAGATCAAAAATAAAAACCAACCTATCCATACCTAAATCGATGTAAAACTCTTCATTATTATCATTGAATAAACTTCTTGTGCTAAGGGAAGGAAGTATATTCATCAGTTTATCTGATTCATTAATAAGAGGAAGTTTTGGTTTTATTTCCACTGACGATGATGTTGATGGTGTGGGTTCGGCAATACTGCAATCCATGTCAACTGACTGGAGAGGAGGATTATCAATTGGATCATCATGTGAGATAGAAGGCTTAATGTCCAGTGTCTTACACTCCACTGGATCACATGGAGTAGGCGGTTGTTGTGAATTAGCTTGAGTGTCACTGCAACAGTCTGGAAGTGATCTGAGATTTAAAAACAAAATTAAAATTTCATAATAATAAATAACCAAAAGGTAATCACAAGTGAACACAAATAGTAGTAGAGTAGTGTTCTCTAGTCGCCCACTGATCCCGCACCTGGCCACTTCTATGTGTATATATCAGTTCACCTGTTGCTGTGGAGCTAGGTAAATCGGTCGTTCAACGCGTATCCTGTCAAAAGGGTCAAAGAACACTATCCAGCGTGGCTGCAGAAAGGAAGTAATGGCTGTATACGAAGTGCCAAAAACAGAACACCTTGTCAACACTGGTCATTCCATCTCAACAAACACCTGCTTCAAAGTAATCTATAAAGTGAAGAACAACCTTCCAAAGACCATACGATTCCGTCTTCTTTGCATCGCAGAAGCCCTAGCCATTAAGCTAGAGGAACCAGAACTGTGCATACAAAAGAAAATTATTCAACCACTTCTACTACCATGGTAACAACTGTGTTGATTTGACTTAACTTTTGTTTGTATGCTTATTTTTCTACTTAAAACCCTTGTGTAATTCTGTATATTTTGTTTCCATGTACACCCTGAGTACAACCCTTTCATTAAACTATTCATGTTATTACGTAACTCTTCTTTAACAGTAGTTTGTGACAACTCATCACTTTTGTTACTACCCTCTTATATCAACATCCAATTCATCTGAACTTACTAATTGTAATTTTGTTTGACAAATTTGATGTACACACACATACAGAACACAAATACATCATATTATTCAGTCAAGTGTACAGTCAGCCTACAGTTATCTAGAACAGATTTCTCATTTACCAACGACACATTATTATTATTATTATTGTATCCTTTAATTCCTACTGGAACATTGGGCTTCAGCAGTGCCTCCTTATTGCGTTCGGTTCTCTGCTAGAGTCTTCACCTGGCTCCAAGTCTGCCCACACTCCTTCATCTCCTCTTCACATGACCTCCTCAAAGTCACCCACCCTCGCACTCACGACCAACTCGCCGCTTCCCTTTCAGTCGGGTTCCACTCGAGCAATGGCTTGTCTAGTGATGTCACTCACTTGATGGTTTGTTTCCTCAGAGTATGGCCAGCCAATCCATCTCCATTTCTTCCTGCCTGCCTATTTGTTTCACAATCGGTTCCTGCTGAGTTGGTTCGCTCATTGCCAGAGATCCCTCTCTGTTGCTGATCTTTTCTGACTGGCCATCTGATCTTGAGTGCTATTAAGCGAAAACAACTGTTAATGAAGGTCTGTAGTTTGTTTGAGATGCTCTTTATGACGCACTGGCCAAGTCTCTGATCCGTATAGTGAGTAGCACTGACTGGCTTCACATTGGAGTTGAAAATCCGGCTGAAGCAGACCGGATGGGATTCGAATCCAAGACGTTTACCTGAAAGCCAGGTTACTTAATGCAATGGAGATGCACTTCCACAATAAAGTAGGTAAAAATTATGAATCTGTGTATAGAAGATATTAAATAGCACTTACGTAGTCTGAGAAGAAGATTCACAACCTTTGGTTTCATTTCCTGTGATGCCTTTCAGTGATTGACGAAATTCACTGAAACATTTAAACTGTTTAGGTCTATGCACTGGTAAACGTATATCTGCTTCTAAAGGAAAAACAAAAGAAAAAACAAAGAATGAATGGTAATCACGATGACGAAAAATATTAAACTAACCTCGTACAAGACGTTGTGTTTCAATATGAATTTGAAGTCGTTCTTCCTCTAAACTAGTGGATTTTTTAGATTTTGAGACAGTTTTTGATTTCTTTTTTGCTGCACCCTAAAGTGAAATTAGAATAACACTTTCTTTTTAAAAAAAGGGTTGCTTACAGAGCTATATGTCCAACGACCAACTTGTTCTTCTGTCTCTTCATCATCCTCTGCTGCACCTTCTTCTTCTTCTTGTTCTTCTTCTCCTTTTATGAACTGTTCCGTGTTCTCTTCAGACTCATCATCATCTGATTGATTTAAAGGTGGAGAGGCATCAGCTTGATACTCATCCTGGTCATCATCACTTGATTCACTATCGATTAGATCAAGGGGTAAAATCTAAAAGAACGAAGAGATAAACATTGCAAAGATAATATATGAAACAACAGTTTGTATGAAATGTTACAACCGCATACTGTAAGGTTTCATACAGATTGATGAAAACTGACATTAATTGTATACAACAACACATTGGAATAATATATTTTCGATAGGGAATATTATTCATGTTTAAGAAGTGAAGTGGTAGAGCACGTTGACCGCTTCACCTACTTGGGAAGTACCATCAGCCAGTGCCAACGGGTTGATCTCCGACGAAATCTCAGCACGGATACGATACAGAGGGCTAGTTTCGCATATGCCAGTTTACGCCGTCTCTGGCGTCGACGCGATATCCGACTATCGACCAAAGGGCGTGTGTACTGCTCAACAGTCCGCTCCGTCCTCCTTTATGGCTGTGAGCGAGACCTGGCTATTGAGAGCAGAAGACATGAAAAGACTAGCTGTCTTCGATCATAGGTGTCTGCGTTCTACCTCCCGTGTGAAGTGGTATAATAAGGTGAGCAATACTGAGGTGAGGCGTCCAGTGAGTGCTAGGTGAGGAGGGGAAATCAATCGACGAAGCTGTGAAATTACATCGACTGAGATGGTTAGGACATGTGTTACCTATGCCTAGCGTAGACATCGCTTCCTCGACAATGGGCAATGTTAGTTGATATAGGGTCAGGCTGGAAAAGAGCTAGCGGCGGTCAGACCAAAACATGACACCAGTCAATGAAATCTACAATAGTTAGCTTAAGCCAGCCACGTAGGAAGGTGTAGACTTCTTGGTTGGGGTCCTCGGGACGGTAAAAACCAATGGTTGGAAACAATTGGTGACATGGCTAGCTCAAAATCGTTGTCAATGGTTGGCGCAGATGCATCCACTCCTTGTGACTTATGATTTCCAATGAAACTGTTTTGTTCTTCGTTATTACTATTCCTTTGTCTCACACCTCTGTTTACTGTCTATATTATGCATTTCTCCTACTTTCTTCTCTTGCTTTGTGTGCTACAAGGAGGGAGTGTGGCGACTTGAACTTCCGCACATATGTGCAAAGTTCTATGTCGAAAACCGACCGAACCGACCGACCGAAATGTTTACACTAGCATTATTTGAAGACTATTGCTCTTACCTAAAACTACATATCTCTCATTTGTTTCCTTGTTTGTATTTCTTTTCAACAAAAAAACCACTGTTTAAGTGAGAAATCACACGGAGAAACTCGCTAGCGAGTCAAGCATATCAATGCAACGCCATTAAAAATAGATTGAAATCCCAGTTTCTCGAGTATGTTGGTATATAATTACTGATTGGTATGATTGATTACTTTGGAACCACTCACGTCAACTAGCAGTGTTTGTCACCTATACTGTATTATTATTGTTGTTCCCTTGGGTTCCTAGTGGAACATAGGACTTCAACTGCACATCTCCACTTGTTTCTGTGTTCTGCTGTACTTTTCACCTGCATCCATATTAGTCCATACTGTTCCAACTCCTCTTCACACAATCTCCTCCATGTCACCCTTGCACTGACGTACCACTCGCCGCCGCTTCCCTTTCGGGTTCCACTCGAGCGTTGGCCTGACGCGCGATGTCACCCAGCGAGTGGCCTCCTCAGCGAGTGAGTGTCCAATCCATCTCCACTTTCTCCTGCATATTTGTTGGCCGATTGCTTCTTGTTTTGTTTCTTCCCATAGTTTCTTGTTGGTGATTGTTTCCCGCCATCTGATCTTCAGTATAGAGCCAGCGAAGACAGTCAGTTGTTGATAAAGGTCTGCAACAGGCTGTTGGAAATATTCTTTCTGATCCGTATAGAAGAACTAACTTGACGTTTGTATTGAAAATCCGAATTTTGTTGTTGAAAGCCTTCAGCTATACTGTGAAGTGATTTAAATACCTAATGGACATCTCAGTAAGGATTATGGATGAGGTCATCACTGCTGTAACTAGATCAAGCCATCTGAACTGTGTAATTTTGTAAATGAGAATTTATTTATTGAAATGTTTACTTATCGATTTAAAATACTTTTGCTACTTAAAGATGAAGTGAATTATATTTTTACATTTTAGCATCTCGCAAAGATAATGAGCCTATTGAAATTGTCAAGATATACAACAGCACGAAAATGACAAAGAATATCATGGGTAAAATAATTCATTAGGACAGGGATGAGATAATTACGAGCCAGCTATCTATGTGAGTTATGGACTAAACAGTCTAAACAACAATAATGACAGAACAACAAAATATAAAGAAAATAGGGAGGGAATGAATAAAGGTTATCAACCAGGAAGGAAGCAAGTATACTTGACAAGATCAAATAACATTCGTCGTATTATTGTCAGAAAGGGAATAAAGAAGGAAATTTCAGCATGTCCACCATTGATTGAGATTTTTGGCAATATGTAGTAACGTTTGGGGCCACCGATTCGAACTATCCCGTGGACCCCAGTCAGGGAGTCGTGACGCACCGACGGATGCCAACGTAACGCAGGTGTCTTTCATCCCATAGTGTCATGTCATAGCTTGACCATCTCTTCACTTTTTCCATCTACTCCCACGACTGGCGAACAGAAACCGATACGAAAACCTTTGAGATGAGATCCGTAGCACACATCCAAACCACCGAAGTGTGTGTTTTCAGGTGACAACACTCAGTGAGTGATGATCTCCACTGTGTCCAAACACACGCTGCCAGACCTCAGAATTACTCACACAATGAAGACATCGGATGCAAGAAATTCTACGAAGACAGTGATGACCGAATACGCAGAGTCACCACACATCTTCAGCTCGGAGTGGTCAGGTTTCACAAGTGTAGGGCAAGACCAGCACACAGAAGCATTGTGAACCCTATCTTTGATAGCGAGACTGACGTCACGACAGTGCCAGATATGGCACAAATCGGCGCATGCCACCCTAGTTTTCACTGTACGGTGACAGATCTCATCCGTCACACAGCCAGT